TTGTGTAAGTTTACACTTCTAAAAATTTCTAAGAGTCGCAGTAAAAGGATGGGAATTGTAAGTTATATGCTAGATTTGTTTATACAAGAAGCAAATTTTTAATATGTAGAAATTTCAGAAAATTCAAATTATTATTATTATTTTTTAATATTTGGAGCTGAAATATTTAAATGTTAAATTACGTGTGGTTTTGTCTGGTTTAGATTTTAGCAAAAATGTGGAGGCCATCAAGTCGAGTGGTCGGTTGAAAGGGTTGTACTGTATGTATCGCCGCTGCTATTTGGAGGCGTCACGCGGGCCTGATTTGCACTTGGCCGAGTTTGTTGTTGTTTTCCAGTCACGATCGGCGGCTTTCGAAGCGAGAGAGCAGAGCTACAACTAGCCGGAGAGGGATAATTTGATTCGGCCTCTGTTCTTTTATTGCTAATCCAAAAGGTCAGTCGGCGCGCTGGGCAATCAAGTCATTTGGCACGTCTCTCGCCTTAACGAACGGACATTAAGAAATGCGCGCGGCCAAATTAATTTCAATTAGCCGATCGCTGAGCTGGCGTAGCTCGAGTTATTCAGACCTGACCCGATTTTCGCTCTTTCAGGAAACTTCAAAGCCAAAGTTGAAAATGGTAAAAATATCAATCACAGTTTTAAGATACAATAATAATACATACTCATTTTGTGAAAAAAGTTCTTTAAATTTAAAATTTACTATCCAAATCTCCAAGTATCTAATAAAAAAATATCTTTATTATTTTTGAAAAATCGGGTTTTTCCTCCCAGCAAATTTGATATAATCTGATAAAATAATCAAACAATTTTCACCTTACAGCATCCCCTTTAACATTTTATACAAATCATCATGCTTTAAGTAAAATTTTAATCTCTTGGAAGATTTAGATTTTTATTACATGAAAGCCTGAATACCTTCATGTACAGATTATGTAATCATTTTCATAGGCAATTAAATTGAATTTTTATAAAAATTAATGACTTATTATTACTAGTGATGGTAGTGATATTCATTATTTGCGCTCAATATACATTTTATACTTATAAAAAGCATTACTAGGAATGTTACTCGATGTTACTGAAGTTGAATTGGAAATTAAAACAAAAACAAAACGGTTCTCCAGATTTTAATTACCATTAATTAGAATCAGCAGAAAAATATGGAACATTTTCAACTTTGAAAAGCGGTCGCTTGTTCATTATCGGACATGGAAAACTCACAAAAGGCATTATGATTTCTTTTGTTTCATTTCATCTCCCAAAAGCACACAGTTTTTCCAACTAACAAACTGCCAGTGATGAAATTCAAAAACAAAACCCGCCAATTTGCGCCACATTTTTAAAGCAAACACGTACACACATCCCCTTTTTGTACTTCTATGTGTTACGTTTTTCCGAATATATTTGTTATATTTTTTGGTCCGCAACAAAGGCCAGCAACGCAGCGCTGAAATTTTGTCGCGGTCCATTAAAAAAATGAGCAAGGAAAATTAATGAGAGGTGTGTGTACGTGTTGTGTAAGGCCTCGTCGAAAAAGAGAAAAGACGAAGGAAACCTTTTTGTGCGGCGAGCACGCGAGTGTCCTTTTCTCGCACCGCTTTTTTATTTCACTCCACCGCCGAAATCACTCCCGACACTGAACATGCGCCCACCGCTGAATTATGTTACACATTGAAGCAGCGAAAATAGCAGTGCCTCTCTCTCCCTCCAGGTGAGGAGTCAGAAATAATCTCAAAAAGTGAAAAGAGGAAAAGTGAAAAGAAATTTTTTTGTTTTATTTTTAGCGTACGAGAAATTTTTGTATAAATGAAAAATGGGAAAGACTGAAGGAAAAAATAATAAATTTATGCTCAGTAAATATATCGTTCTTGTTTTTGCTTTTTTCCCTTTTATTATTTCATAATATTTTATTTGAAACAATGCTTAAAAAAATACCGATTTGCTATTTTAGCTACTTTGTATCAGCAAATAATTTTATGAATTTTATCAATTTTTATAAAAGTTCTGTACCATATTTTGTGGATTAAATAACCTTTCTGAACAACAAAATATCTAAAAAAAAATTTAAGCTTGTGTTCAATCTTGTGTTCAAAACTTTCAATTTATTGTGCAATTGCAAAAAAAAACTTAACAGAATGAGCTCTATTCTCAATAATATTATTTCTTCTATCTCACGCGCTCTTTATACACAACAAGAGCAAACACACTACTTTCTTTGATCCTAGACAAATACCAGAATTATCAAATGTCAAAAGGTTACGTCCTCAATTTAATCAAGGATAAAGCTCAAAATATCTCATTACAAACTATAATTGTATTGAGCAAATTCCATATTCCAAAAGGCGCTCTTTAGTGAAAAACGTTGGTCGTTGCTCTAGTAATAAAATCACGCTAGATTTTTTATGACTTGTATTCCTTGAAAAAGAAGTCAAAATAAAACAAAAAATATTTCATAATATTATATATTTTTAATTTTTATGATACAATATCTTTCTCGTATTACTTATTTCATTTCATTTTCTTCCACTAGAGGTGAATTATTTTGAGACCTGGAAATCATATTATAGCTTTGCTATTTATTTTGTATGACGATTTTAAATAGCAGGGGGAATGAGGTATCAGGAACAATCAAATGAAGTCACGAGAAGTAATGAGACATTGTCTGTCTGCAGCTTTTTGACGACTCAGTCGGTCTTGGAATGAACTTTGATGGTGAAGCGCGAAGTCACTCTGTTTGGAAGAGAAGCGCCTGCCAAGTTTGCTTATGCAATCCGCTCGACGTATTTGTCAAGACGTCTGCCTAATACTTCGCCGACACACAATCAACGCTGGTTTTCAGAGGCACGAGACAAGTTTGTTAATTACCGCGCGCACAAGATGCTGTTGGAATTTTCTTTCCGATTCCGCGTGCAAATATTGAAATTTACGAACTCGGAATCACTCAAGCCGAATGAAAGTCAGAGATATTATATGTGGAGGATTTGAAGGAGAGATTCTTTTGATGAATGGCAATGGGGAAAATTGTCGTGAATTTGCTTGAACTGTTCCTTTATTTATTTCCATGCGGAGCCTAAAATATTTTACAAGGAGAGAAAATCAAAGCAAAATTTATTTCCTACAATGAATTTTATCTTCTAAATGATCATAAACAAATGCATATTTTTAAATTATTTCGCTTCAAATAATTTGACTTCCACAAATAATTTTCATAAATTTTATTAACTAACTAAATCTGAATTAATTTTATTCAGTGGAAAAATTTAATTTAGAAATCTTGTGTCCCTTGATTTAAAAGTGAATTTGACGTATTTATTCACAAATAGTCACAGAGATGAAATGGATTTAACTTTCTACTTTGAATATTTTAGAGACCAACACACATCTCGTCTTGTCACAAAACACACACAACAAGCAGAGACGCTTTGGATTGCAAATAGCGGGCGATGAATATGCAAACGTCTCTTCCGTCTCTGATCGCAGAGCAACGCAAAGTCTCCTTGGCGACAAATCTCTGTCGTCAGATTGCGGATATCAGGGGCTGCGTGTGTTGTAGCGCATACCGTGCGAGCGAAGAGAGCACCAGGGCGGTCTAAGCACGTAATAAATAAAGCTGACCACCGCCGGCCGGCAGCAGCGCTCCAGTGATAAATACACTCGTCGACCCATGCACGGCCATCCAGTCTGCGTTTCGCCATCCGAAAACAACACAAAGCCGAAACTAATTTCGCAGGCAGACTCAGAATTGAAATTAGCTATTTCTGTAAAAAAAATTAACATCATTGAAAAAAAAAGTAAAAAATGAGTTTTTAATCTAAAATTTTGATTGACTTTATAATTTCCTTTATACTTTTTGTTTCAATATAATAGAGATTGCAGCAAAATTGAAACAGTTTGATAGAAAAAGAACAAGGAATTATTGTTATTATTATTATAATTTTTTTTTTTTTTTTGAAAATTAAAATTAGTTTTTTTCCTCTCATTTAGAATGAAATATGAATAAATTTACAACGAAATGACTATTTTATCTTTGTACACCTTAATAAACAGTTGTAATTTATAAGGAAATTCAGAAATCACTTTGTTCTTGGCTGCTGCTACATAAACAAAGAATTTTTCTTTTATTCTCAAATTCACAAGTTTTGTTATTTACGCAGACAATGTAATCGAGTTAAATTCAGATGAGCGGAATAACCCAATTATTCCGCATTTGTCCCGGAGGAGCGGCTGGAAACTCGCGCCCGGGGATCAATATGCGGCAGATTTTGCTCATAAATATACAAACAATTCGGTAAATCGCAGCCAAAGAGCGAGAAGCAAACGGCCTTCCAAAGCGAATTTGAACGGATATAAAAACTGCAGTCTTGTGTGTGCCAGTTAATATTATATTTCTAATGCCCAGGCCAAAAGAGGGAGATCGAGAGACGTTTGGCACTCGTCCTGGCCTCATTTGGCGGGCGGCTCATTGCACAGATAGGCCCGCAAGCTCATCTCGTTCCCCCGACCTTGATTTGCATTTTAAACAGCAAAAAATGCGGCACGCTTTTTCTGGCTGGCGAGAAAATTGAAAAAGCCTCAAAATCGAGTTTAGCGTTTTTCCCGACGATTATGCAGTTTGTTGTGTTGAATCCGGGCCGCCCGCCCGCGCGTCCCCAAGGTGGGCACTCGGTGATGACAACAATAATAATGCGCGCTCCTCCGCACAAACTGCGCCTCTGGGATGCCAGCACGACCGACCGTAAAGAAACAACAAAAGCACCAAGCGTATTTTTAAGTTCTCGTGCTTTTGGGAATCTCCAAAAAGAGAAATCTAGGGAATTCCGAGCACTTACACAAGTGGAACTGCTCGACAATCTTCAAATTCCGACGGCGTATATAAGAAAATTTATATGGGTCTCTATTCATAAAAAAGTTATTTGCTCTGAAAATGAAAAAAATTCTGCTGACAAGAGATGAAAAAGGGATTTAATTTTCTCATGGAAAAACTTGATTTGATTCAATTTGATTGTAAAAAATAAATTTGACCTTTATTCAAAAAAATTCAATTCAAGGAAAATAATTGTAACCTTTTTTATAACTTAAATGACTTCAATTTACACTTTAGAGCAGTCTTCAGATTTTTTCTCCAACAGGCTCAATGGTGATCTCCTGGACCTAAAACAAAGAATTCCCAGCGGATCAATGTAAACGCCATCTCTCTGCCGCTAGCATGACTTCGTAGGCAGATTCCAGTGGGAAAGTCAGATTTCAAATTTGATTTCATATTTTTTTTATCATATGACGAAAAATTAAGACATCATTCTTTCCAACAATAGAATTAATTTTTAAATAAATTATATTTTTTTATTTACCTGGACGTGCGGAGGAGTGGATAGGGCGTAGATGATGCCGTCGGCAATGTCCTCAGGGTGCAGGTGAGGGTTGACCTGGAACATCTCTTGGGCTCGAGCTTGATTTTGCTCTAGAGCGGAGAAAAGGTCAGTCTTCACCACACCAGGACTTATGTTCTGCAAGAAAAATATAATGAATTTTAGAATTTTTCAAATTTAATTCATTTTTTTTTAAAGAAATTGTAACTAAAAATTAAATCCTTATAAGAATTATCCAAATTAAATAACAATAATATAGGATTTTTGATAAATTGTTACAGTAAATATAATTGATCTTACCGTGACTCGAATTCTGGTTCCAAGATCACGGAGCTCCTGCCTCAAGGCCTCAGAAATGACAGTCACGCCGTGTTTTGTGGCACAGTAGGCGCCGATTCCAGGACAGTTCAACAGGCGGTGGCCGGCAATGCTTCATATAGGAATTGTTGACATAACAAATTTTTTGCATTTCGTAAATCTCTTTATACCTGGCAATGTTGACAATGTGCCCATCAGAAACTCCTCTTTCTCTTATGTCCAAGGTGACCTCTTTGATGAACATGATCAGTCCCCACATGTTGGTGTCGATCATTTTCCTCAGCAATTCACCATTGCTCTCTAATCAACAGAACATAATTATTGATTAGATAAATTAATATTTTATTACAAGAAAACTTCATAATATTGAAAAAAAAATTTAATTAAAAAAAAAATCATTTTCAAAATTACATAAATATCAAGGATAAATAAGTTTTTTTTTTTAAATTAATACGAAAAAATCAATGTACATTAAGAAGTAGGAAAAGAAGGAATTTTCATTAATTTCATTACCGAGAAATGGGGCTTGATACCAAACGCCAGCGTTGTTGACGAGCACGTCGGCACCTCCGAGCACGTCCCTGGTCCACTTGACCACTCTCTTGATGTCCTCCTCCTTGGTCACGTCGCAGGCCATGGCGAACAACTGGCCCTTCTCGCTCTTGAGTTCGGCGGCCAGGCTCTTGATCTTGTCCTCCCTGCGAGCCACGCCGACCACCCTCATGCCGGCCTGCACCATTTTCTTGGCCGTGGCCGCTCCGATGCCCGAACTGGCGCCGGTCACGATGGCCACGCGGCCTGTCCAGCGCTCCATGATTGCGCGTTTGAAGTTTAAAGGAAGGAGAGGGATTGAAAAGCAAAGCGTCTGTAGCGCGGCTGAGACAGCGACGAACTGATAAGAGGCTGAGGGGAGTCTCGCCGGCCAGCCGCGGCTGTTTAACCTTTTGTGACCTCTACCTGCATGAGTACAATAGAGGGGGGTGGAGTTTCTCTAGAATCTTCTCTATCACTTCTATCAGTCTAAATTTTCCTTAAAAAGTTCAATAAATTATATTTTTTAAATTTTTAAACTTGAAACATCAATTAAGAACTAAGATAATTTTAGATCGGAAACACAATTTTCACAGTTACATTAATAAGAATTGCACCAGAAATTAAAAAAATTACCAACTTATTTAAATTACAAATTGGAATGATAATTAATATATATTTCTAGTTAATATTTAACAATTTTCAAACCTTAAACATATTAGTGGCACTTATTTGTGTTGGCAGAGTTACAATATTTTAAATATTTATTTATAGATTGCAAGTCTTGAATTACGTTGTATCGTTGGTTTGATCAGATCACTTAAAATATATAAATAAAGTCGGAATGTTCATTTTCTTGGTCTGCTGCTCCCGTTAGTGCTTCTGTTCATCGTGATGTTCCTCCGAATCTCTTGTTCGGAAAGATCAGAGGCTCTTTGTCTGAGAGGGGCAATTTCATCCCTGGCTCTCGATGTTGCCTGGGAGCTGCTGTCACTGAAGGCCGTGCTGGATGTTGTCGGTCTCGAAGGTCTGGCCGGGACGAAGCGCTCGGGCAGAGTCGTCAACCACAACTGCCGAGTCTTCTTCTCCCAAACGATGAAGAACAAAAAGAGCGCCAGTCCTTGCAAGGTGGCCGTGGTGCAGAACAGGTAGGAGAAGGTGACGCGCCAGGCTGCCACAAAGGGCGCCACCATTGCCAGCAGACCAAAAATCCAGGTCAATCCGAGCAGGAAAAAGAGGAGGATGCTCATTCGTAGCTGCCGCATGGCCATCACATGCCTTTCGGCCTCAGTGCTGATTGACAGGTTCTTTGGTCGCCCGCAAGTCACCCGATAAATAATTAGGCAGAAGACCTGGTTTTTGGGGAAAAAATTAAATTTTCTAAGATTTCATTTATTTTTTAAATTGTTGAAAATAATAATAAATAATACATAATGATTTTATTCTTAGAACATTTATTATGAAAAAATTTTCAGGTAAAAAAATAATAAACCAAAAAACTGTAAATTAAATAAAAAAATTTAAATGCATAAAAACCAATAAAGGAATCGTTTTTTAATTAAAAAAAATGAAACTAACTAATAAATGCAAACTTACCAAAAGATTTCCAATCACAATGCAGGCGACGGGGATGATCACCGCCAGAATCAGAGACAGTTCAACTGGGTAGCAGAATCCAGACGAGCTGTTAGTGTGTGGGTAACTTTTAGCCGGACCCATCGCCAGCAAAACAATGATGGGGATGGTCGGGAGGCCCCAACTGAACAAGGCGCCCTTGAGCAAAAAGTGCGGCGGACGCGAGGAAAGTACTTCGACAAAGCGCAGGAACTGCAGAGAGGCGGAAACCAGCATCCAGCAGAAGGAGGCGAGGATCGAGTAGTGCAGAATCACGCCCAGGGCGATGCAAGACCCTTCGGAAGCGGAGCCTGCGTCCAGGGCGATCGAAAGGAACGCGGCCATGGTCAGTCCGATGGCAGCAGACAAATTTAGCAAAATCTGAAAATTTAATATTTCATTGATAAAAATAACTTTACTTATCCAACTCTCAAAGAATAAAGAATATGAACTTCAGAGCAAAAAAGCAAAGAACTAAGAATAAAAAAAATGAATTTTTAGTTGTAAAAAATAGTTTTCTTTTTATCACAAATTAAAACTTTCAACCAAAACAACTACCCTGAATAAAGCTTGAAAAATTTGAGCCATTAAAAAATAACAAAAATAATTTAATTTAAATAATTTTAATTAAACTTTCACCTAATATTACCCAATTAAGCCTGTATTTTTTCAAGAAAAGGAAGGAATATCCCAAACCAAATAAGCATTTAAGCTGTATAATCCAGAATTATATTCATCTGATATTTTATTGATGTAGTTGGTTCTATTAAACATTAAATTATGTAAATTTATTTTAAATTGCATTATTATTTTTTGACCTCAAATTTACTGTTTTTAAACATATTGCAACAAAATAAAATTGAAGCAAGATTGCAATTAACTCAGTAAGTTGCAAGATTGATCAGTGAGAAATAAAACGGATTGATTTTGACCATATAAAGAAAGCAGTTACTCAAGTTATGACAAGCAGGCACTAATTACTGTCATGCTGCAAATCAAGCAGGTGCAAATTAGTACCTTGTTTCCTAGGCGTGACCTCCAGTGTTGGAACACGACGGCAGTGGCTGCGATGCCGAGCAGGCCGATCAGTGACAAGGAAGAGCCGACGATGGAAATTATGTCAAGCACTTTGCTGTCACCCGAAACGCCAATGATTTCACCGAAATGCGTCAGGTGGTTGCACTCACAAACGTCCAAATCTGCTTCCCTTCCCACGAACCGGCAGCCGTCGGTTTTCCACTTGCTGTGGTAAATGTCCCAGTAGGCGCACTTGACCTCCCTGCCCTGCAACTTCATCGCAGGCTTGAATTTGAGGCGCACCACTGCTTGCCCATGTGGGCTCCAGGGTTGCTGACCGTCCAGACTGACTCCCAGAACTTCGCTATTCAAAGATTGGCCCTCAGCATTATCTTTGAAAAAGCCACTGTTGTTGCTCAGGAGGACGAATGAGGCTCTGCCGGATGAAAACTGGAGGAATTCGGCTGAGGACGCTGACGAGGCTTCATTTTTATTCAAAGGTGCGATTTTTGAATTGGTTATTTGCATCCCTTTGATGCCACTTTTGGCCAAGTCGGCGGCCATCAAAGAAGACTGGCTTGAATGGGCCACTGCGATTCCACTTCTGTCCAATTGGATTTTGCTCAAAATTGTGTCAACATTCTGGAAAAAAAATTCAGGTTTAAAAATTTTAATTCAAAGAGAATAAGTCTTTAAAGCAATTAAGAGATATCTCCAGCTATTGATTTAATAAATTTGCATTACCTTGAGAATGGAGTTTGTGGCCACTTGCATGTTCCCTGCTCGGCTTTCTCGGCCGAGATCGTTGCCCTGGGTTGAAGCAGAGACTTTATCTAGAACAGTGGCAACATCCGATAAGCTATCTGCATTCAAATTATGTGAATGTTCAGAAATTTGGCCTAGAACATTGTCCACCAGAAATACGTCTGCTGTAGAAGGCGCTTTCCTCGATTGCCCCAAAGTGTCCGCCAATTTTCTGGTGACGCTTGCCACATTAGCAGCAGTCACGGTTTCCTTTGAAAATAAATAGCCTCCAATTAATTTACTCAGTTGGATAAAAAATATATTAAATTACTTTGTTGGCAAAGTTATAAAGGACTGCAGTTGAAGGAGTCAAGGCGTTGGAGTCACAAGTGCCATTCGGCTTCCCCCAAAAAACTTTTGTTCCCTCCCTCAGGCACTCCCTGGTCACAAAGAGCATGTCAGAGGTCAAACACGGCCGATTGGGAAATGCCATTTGCGAGGCGAGGGTTTCCGGCCAGAAGAGAGGCAAGTTCGTTGACAAGTTGGTGTCCAATTCAGAAGGACACATTGCAGGCGGTGGAATCTTCCAAAAGATTTGCTCTCGAACGCTGTCTTTCAAAGGGGTGGGGTGGACTTCTTCCATGTCAAAAGGGTCAAAAGGATCGGTTGTGGTTGTCGGAGAGGGAGAAGTCTCGGTGGTGATTTCCTCGGAGATTTCAATGGTGGTTGTTTCTAGAAAATTGATAATTTTAGATTAAATAGAACAAACATTCATGAAAAAATCTCACCTTCGAGAAGGGTGGTTGTTTCAGGTGGGACGGTTGTAGTTGTTGTAGTAGAAGTAGTAGTGGATGTAGAGGTTGAGCTGATTGTTGAGGTTGAAGTGGTTGATTGGGTGGTGTCAAGTGGCTCATTAGTGGTGGGTAAATATGGGGCTTGGTAAAAACCAGCAGATGGTGTGTGATGGATTTTGTTGATGCGCGCCCCATAATTTCCCATCAGCCCTCCACTTCGTCGCCACCATCTTTTTGAAAAAAATTAAACATCACATTTTAACTTATTATAGTAATACAATCCATTTCTCAAAGAATTACAAAAATCTATTAATATTATTATAAAAAGTTGAGAAAAGCAAAAGAGTTTTAATTGCAGTTTCCTGAAATTTGAGGTGGTTGAACCTTTCAAAAGGTATTACGTGCAATATTTTTTGAAAGAAAAGTTAAAAGGTATGTTTAGCATTTTATAAATATTTAGAAAAAAATATTCAGGTAGGGCGTGCTATTCAAATTTTTAAGTTTATTTTATAAAAAAAGTAATAATGCAATAATTATTGCTTTGAAAATATAAGGATGAATTGAATATTTAATTTTTATTTTTAAATTATTAGTAAAAAATACAAACTTGAAACTTGAGATTGTATTAATGTATATTATGTTTGCAATAAATAATACTTTCAAAAAAGTCCTTACCTTCCACTTTCAGAAGAATTGCTTGACCTGGACTTTTGAACATATTCTCGGGCGACGACCGTGGCTAAAAAGCCGATCGCGAGCACAAGGAACAGTCTCATGTCGGCAGCAGCGAAGAGTCATCGGTGCCCTCAGCAAAAAGCGGCGGCGAGCGACCAAGTGCCCCTCCCGCGATCCGCTGCAAAACAATGACATTTCCGATCAGAACACACAGCGCAGGTATAATTACTCATTCAGGATAATCAGAAGTGACGTGCGAGATTAGCAGCGCCTGCCCCCAGCATCGCGGCGGCGGCCAAAGATAAATCACGGCGCGCGCGAGAGAGAAAGAGCGCTTTTAGGTCAACTTGTATTATAATTAAGTTGCTCTCTCGAATTATGGTCGGTAATTGCACGCGACATGTCTCAAGGCGGAGCTGGAATTCGCACGCGGCACCCAAGGAAACGTAGTATTTTTTATTTGGACGCAGCAAGTGCGACGCAAATTGATTCAGCATTGAGGTGTAAAAAAATTTTCAAGTGAGTTTTCGAGAACGCGTTTGCGTTAGGCGTCGATTTTCAGCCTCTTTGCCCTTCCGAGAAAAGAGTGTTGCGTGTTTTCGCTATCAGATCGAACGCGAGAGAAGAGCGTCCGCTTTTTTTACTCAAAGAGCAGCGATTGAGTCACACATAGGCTGCGCAAATCAAACAGCGAGAGATAAGCGCGCACTTAGGAACGGCACATGTGTGCATCAGATGCTCTCGTCTCTCATTTCAAACTTTCGCTCACTCTCAGATTTTGAAAATTGAAAAATCCAGATTTATCTTATCGCTCTGACTGAAATGAACGAGATTGATTCACAGTCAGCTGGGTGGTCATTTTATTGAGGAGTCATTTCCTCAATCAAATTTTATTGTGATTAATTTTAGATTTCAAATAATAATTAGCATTTATATTGATGAAGTCATAAATTAAAATAATATTGTATAGAATAACGTCAAATAATTTTGGGAGCATCATTAAAAATTGTCGGTTTACTTTTTTAATCACATCAAATTGAGAAAAATTATGAGAAATTCAAGAGAAAAAGTTTAATTCTATTATGATTTTTTAATCTTTTTACCTTCGTCATTACAAAAAACTGTCATAAAATGAAAAACCAATAAAACTTGTTTCCAACTGCCTATTCTAATTTTTCAAACAAGTAATTTCCTTTCATTCCGTCTAGATTTGTCAAGAATAAACAATAGCAATCAGGGATTTCATTGTTATTGAAAAAAAACCTGTACAAGCTGACCATGAATTAGTTCATGTTTACAAATTTAGATTACATTTGCAAATCCCTATGCAGAAAATTCCAGAGAAAAATGGTGTGGTGCAAGAAAGAAGCGGCTTTCTTACTTAGTATTGACATTGAAAATAATGACAGGTGCATGAAAATTAATACTCGGGCACGTAACACATTACTGAGAACTGAGTCCACTTCAAGAGCGAACACTAACAGGAAAATCCATTTTCGTTGATGCAAAACATTGTTACGCTTAAATAACGTGATAAGCTTTTAACAAAAAAGGAAGAGTTCAAACTAAAAACGCAAACAAACTGATAAGCGGAGAGGAAAGAAACGCCCTAGACTAATTGGTGATTGGTACAGGATTTTTTTTTCAAGTTAACAATAGACTTGAATAAATCTTCCATCTAAAATTAAATCAAGAGCGCACACGAGGCCTTGGAGAAATTGTGTTGGATGTTGTTAAACAAGCAAGGCTGCACAACCTGCAGGAATCCAAGCTCAATTTGCTTAAATTGGTAAAAAGCTAAATAAGTTATTCGGAATGCTGTCTTTGATATTATTTCCATTAATTGGCGCGACCGCAACTACTTGCGAGGACACATCATTAAAATTCCTCTAAGCGCAGGATGACACAAAAAATAACTAAATAAAAGTGAAAGGCGGAGAATTAAAATTTAAAAACTCACCTTTAGTCAAAACTGGACGTGACTGGCAGCAGTGGCGTGCATGGCAATTAAACCGCTAATTTTTTAGCGGCATTGAGCTCCACATGGTACAGCTCTCGGCAGATAACTGATAAGCTCGTCCCTCCTGCTGCGCCGTCGGACCAACGCGGGAGGCCTTGCGCGGCGACGAACAATAATTCGTGCGCGCGAAATCACACTAAACGCAGCCTCAATCAAGTTGTAAACCAGCCCCGATAGCCGTTTCCACTTTTTCTCTCCATTCGGTGTCAATTTAATTTATTGATCATTTTGCAATTTTACTGCTGCCTGCGAGTGCAATAATGAAAATTATGCACTCACGCTTATTTTTCTTAAAACAGGGAAATCATAAAAGTTATTATGTTCTGATAATTGCTTTGTCATTGATTGATAAACAAAAGAATTATTTGACTTGGACAAAAATAAATTATTTATTCTCTTTACAAGATTCGTGACAACTTTCAGGGCTGTTATTCACAACAAAATCAAGGCTTTTTAATAATAAAAATATATTGCTCTCTCCAATTTCGTGAGAGCCGAAAACAGAAAATTTACAAATCAAGCGTGATTTTCGGTGGGCTAGAGTAGAGTTGCGTCTGAAACACACAGAATGTGACCCAAATTTATATGAAAAAAATGGCATAAATTTTTTCGAGTGGAAATAAAATAGGGGAAATTTCGTCTGCGCACCGGAAAAGTCACTCTGTTGCCGGCCATCATGCAGCGAATGAGTTTGTCTGCTTTGCTGCTGACGGTTACCGCACTCTCGCTTTTATATTATAAATTTGGCCAGGTAAACGATGACATTCGGGCGGTGCAACACAATATATTCAAAATGCTCAAAGATTTGGAAAGCAGGTGAGCAAAACTAATAACCAAGAAAAACATTTTTTAAGAGGGACAATGTTCAGCAATTTATTAAAAAGAAAATCATTAATTACTATTCAAAATGACCTAAATTTAAAATATTCAGATTAAAATATTGATGAATACTTCAAGATTTACCAAATTGAATTTATTTTGTATTTTCGTGTCCCTTTTTTAATTAATAAATTTTTTAGAGCGCTAATTGCTGATGGCCAGCTAGAACAAAGGGTTGTGGACAAAGTGAGAGAAAACGAAGACAACCTGCTTGAAAGGGAAAGCAAACAAATTCAGACAAAAGCTGCTGCAACTGCCGAGGCTGCTATCATGATGAGAATCGAAGAATTTGCCAAAACTCTTTCAGCCAAAAGTGCGACCAACCAAAGCCATAGTAGCGCACAAATCGACCTGAGCACTTTGGCTCTGGTTAAGGAATATGTCTACAAATACATTACAATGGACATTCCTATAGGTTTTAATTTCAAATTCGGGTGAACAATTAAAACCACAAATTTTTTCTAGATGTGAAGCGCTGGTACACTTATGTCAGAAAACAAGGCAAGCTCTTTAGTTCATTTTCTTGGTTAGCTGAACACATGTCTGGATTAAATTAGTCCAGCGTCTGAATTTACTGGAGCAGGATGACCCACTTTTGATTCAGTTCATCAGAGAACAGCTTTTGGTGCCGCCGTTTATAAAAGAGCCTGAGTCGAAGGCTAAGAAAAAGCCTGGAAACTATTCCAAGGATATTTCCTCTTTTTTGGAAATTTTCAGGAACAAAGTGGAATTTATTTTAATTGCTTAGTACTTTGGTAATGTTTACTGTTTGTCTCGACAGGAGAAAGGATTCTTTGTGGAAATCGGAAACAATTTCACCAAGAGTCAAATTTTTGAGGCTGACTTTAGTTGGGAGGGAGTTTTGATTGACAAAGACCCGGACAGTGTCAACAAACTACTTGATAAAAAAAGAAAAGCGTGGATTGTCCCGACATGCTTGAGTCTGAAGAGCACACCGGAGATGGTTCCAAAATTAATTTAGTGTTCAATTGAAACTGATTTTAACTTATTAGGTTATTTTTGTCAATACAACTAGGAAAGAAGCAAACAGAGAAATAATTGAAATTCACTGCATGCCAATCAATACCATTTTTGCTTCCCTCAACATTTCAAGAGTTGATTATTTGCACCTGGACGTCCACGGAAGGGAAAACGAGGCATTCACAAGACTGAACCTTACCTCATTTCCAGTCCACGTAATTATTTTTGTACATTTTAAATTATAACAAAAGTTGACTTTTCAAATCAGGTGGTTGAAATCGGCAAGAGTGCAGACCAGAAAGAAAAAAATTTGCTAAAAAAGCACTTGGAGTCGGCAGCTTTCAAATTGCTCGCTCTCAAGAACGAAACGGACAGGCTGATCTACGTAAATCCTGCGAACGCCAAATAATTAACTCACCTCAGTCATCCCAGATCACTTCATCCTCCAAGGACGGAGTGACAGATTGGGCTTTGTCAATCAGTCGAGTGCCCACTTCATTCCTGTTTCTTTTATTCAGCCTCCCCTTCTGCGTGAGGCCCTTTTTCGGCGACTCCATAATGCCAAAATCCCAAAATCCTGCAAACATTATTCATTTTTAGTAAATTAATTTTTGATAAAATATTTTAATAAACCTTCAGGTGTGTTTCCAACAAGAGGCTTCACTTGTCGGTGTTTGCTGCACTTGTTGATGAACTCCCTTTTTTCTTGAGTACTCATGTCATCACAGAAATTGTCATAGAACTAAAATGTATAAATCAAAGTAGATTTATTAAAATAAAAACCGACAAAAAGTATACCTTTTTACATTCGTGGCACTCCCAGCCAGGAAGTTTCTTCCTCTCCTCTTTCTTTCTCACAACTACCCCATCGTATTTCTTTAGCAACTCCGGATCCACACCAAAATTAGCCTCTTCTTTCCTGAAATTTACATTTAATTCTGTTATAAATTATTTCACAAATATAAACTACGCATTACTTGGTTTGCTTTCTAGTAACTGGAGTGTCAAAAAGTTTGACTTCGTTGTCATCTTCGAAAAACGTTCTATCCAAATCGGAACTTCGAGCCTCAGGCAACTTCGTCGGTTCTTTCTTGGCAGGGGTTAATTTGAGGGAAAGTTTTGAGATCTTCCTGGTTTCCTTCTTTTCAACTTGTGTGTTTCTTGGACTCAAAGGAGCAGGACTGGCTGTTGAAACCGACAAGGCCGAGGAGCATCTTCGAGCTGTGATGACTGGACTGCTGGGCGGAATTTCATTTTGAGAATTGCCATTGTTTTTAGGCGGGGTGTTCAGAATGAAATCTTCGTCTTGACTGAGAGATTCGGGAACTGAAAGGTTCTTCACAGGCGACGGTGAATTGATTAAATTTGTGTCCAGCACAAAAAAAGACGCCTGCTTTTGCTTCACTTCAGTTTTCACCCTTTTTTCGTTTGTTTTTCTGTACTCGTCCGACAGTCTTTTTTGTCCAGATTCTTTCAGTCTAAAAATAAAATTAGTTAAATTTTGAAAATAAATAGAGATTTCAAAAATCATACCTCTGGTTTTCAGCTTGCAACGCTTCAAGTTTTTCTTGCAGTTTAGCGACTTCGGAGTTGAGATTTTTATTTACGACTTTCAAAACGTCGTTTTTGGCCCACTGCTCCTCAGACTTCCGGTTTGCCAAATTGGCCTCCGCTATTCTGTCTGCACACCATAATTACAATTATAAATCCTGCACGAATAAAATCAAACTTGCCTCGCAATTCGGAAAAAGTGACTTTGAGCAGCATTCTGGCGCGCAAAGTGGGAACACAGTTTGGGCTACTTTTGCTCGTTTTGTTCAAATTTGCGATAATTTCGTCGCTCAACATTTCTTCCCAGAGCTCCTTCCAGTTGACACCTTGCATCGCCGAATCCGTCATCTTCCTCGTCTGCGATTTTCTTTCAAGTTTTCTTCAATTTTTATAAAATTTCTGTTTCACATCCACACGTACCACAAGGTTTCGTCAGTTTCGTGGGCGTTCGTGCCTCAGCGATTGTGGCGCCACCAGATTGTAATTAGAAAAACTACTATGTGGCCATCAAATTTTCGCTTTCGTGGCGCGAGCCGCGCGAGGAAAAGTTTTTTCGAATATTGCTCGAATTGTCCAGAGGGGCCACTCACTTGCCATGGAATATGACGCTATGACGGAATATGGAATCAGATGGAACATGACAATTGAACTAAAACATCAACAGCCTCTAATGATGAACATTATGATTTTAAAAGCTCCCGAGTTATTGGTCATTGCAAGAGGGTTTGGGTTTTGGGTTTGAATGAATATAACCATAAAAATATATTTTGAAATAATGGAATTATAATTCATGATTGAATGAAATTAAATAAATTATTGAAATTTTTATTAGAAACTTAACAAAACAAACGTAATTTAAAAGAGAGATTTTCCATTTTTTAAGTGAAAATTTGGAAAATTTAATTCAACAAAAGTTTTTGTTATCATTTAATGAAATCTGTCTAATTTTACACAATTTTAGTTTTTATTTAGTTCTCACAAAAAAAAATGCAAATAATGATTTTGAATAATAGCTTAGTTAAATATAATATTAAAATTATAAATAATAACCAAAATACGCAAAATACGTCATCATCTTAAATCGAGAAAACACATTTGACATGAAATATCTTAAAACACTTTCATAAATATAGCTAATTGTAAAATGGGACATCAAAACACAAAAGACGGAGGATTTTTCTTCCTTCTAATTGTTAATCACACTTTATTACTATCAGAGTCCTGCTGCTCTTTGACGCGCGTTTGCCAGATCAAATTGGTTCCACTGAAATAGTCCTCGATCTCGGACAAGGTCCTGCCCTTGGTCTCCGGCACAAAGAGGTAGACGAACAGGGTGCCGAGCAGGGCGCAGATGCCGAAGAAGAAGAAGAGGCCATGCGGGTGCAGCACATGAACCGCCCACGGGTACACCTTGGTGGTCACAAACAAGGTGATGTTGATGACGGCAAAGGTGAGGCCGCCGGCCGGGCCGCGCGCCCGCGCCGGAAGCATTTCGCCCATCATCAGGCCCGGCAGCACAAAGAAGCCATATGTGTTGCAGCCGACGTAGAGCAGAACCAGCGTGGCCGGCAGCCAGCTCAGGGTGCCGGGCGGCGGCGCCACGTACAACCAGCAGCCAAGGGCCACCGCGGCCGCGGCAGAACCCAGCCCGGAGGAAATCGCCAGAGGCCGACGACCAACCTTGACAGAAAAAGAAATTTCAAAATTTGTAGAGGAAAATTGCTAAGTTTCAAATTTGTTATTAATCAATTTGATCAATAAATATTTTTTTTTATTAATATTGTTATATTAAAAATTAAGTGAAATCGTTCAGCTTTTGCAGCTTCCATTATTTAATATTTATGTGTCAACTGTCAAATGTAGGCCTTTGATAACCTAACATTTCAAAAAAAGCCTGCATAGTTGTACAATTTTTTAAATTTAAAGTGATTGAAAAAAAACCAATAAATTAAGGCAAAATGTATATTTTTTAGATAGAAACTTGTGCTTACAAACAGAGTCCAAACAGATAATTAATTTCTTTTTAATCGCATTTAATATGCCTTTTAGGTCCAGTCTTTTTCATTTTTATTTCTTTTTCAATTATTATCGATTATTATCATCATTTTTTTTATCACCACAAGCAAATAGAAAAAATTGTTTAAAACCAGCCAATTATTCAAACTCATAATCTAATTATTACCTTGAGTAGAAGCAAACACGCGAAGGCAGTGATGACTGTCCGCACGAGGGCCGTAAGAACTGCAGTTTCCAACTCGGCCACCTGGTCTGTTTCGTCTCCTCCCTCGGCCTGTTGCAGAACGTCCACGGCGTAAAAGATGATTGTGTAGGTGCCAGACAGAATTTGCACCACATTGAAAACGTTCACCACAATCAGAGGCTTGAGGACCACCCTTGAGAAAAGTGGTGACTGGCGCCACGTGTTAAACCAAGAGTTGCGCCGTTTTTTCTGCTTGGCCAACGCATGCTAAAATTTTAATGAAGCAATTAAGGGGTTTCTCTCTAAAGTGTTTTTCTAGTTCCGCATATTTTTGTTTTTTATTGAGCAAAAATATGATGAATTTAATATTTAAAAATTTCAAAACAATATTTTGCGTTTCTTTATTGTTCCTTTCCATGTAAATATTTTGTTTAACCGATAAAAAAAATTGAATCTGACCTGTTCTTCCTGGTCCCTTCTTGCTGCCAAAACGGCCAATTCGCTCCTGGCCTGCGCCATTTGGCCGCCCCGCAGCCAAGTGAGTGCCCTCAAAGCCTCCTGAGACCTGCCCACCTTGGCCAGCCAGGGTGGACTCTCTGGTAGGGACATCAGGGCAAGAAGAGCGCAAGCTGGCAGAATTGCGCAAAGACCAGCCACGATTTTCCACGGCAGCATCGATCCCATTGTGTAGACGATGAGAATTCCCAACGAGTAACTTGCAAATGGAGCGCCTATTTTTCATAAAAATTACAAAAAAAAAATATTATTTATGTAAAACTTTTTTTTATAGATATAAAAGAAATTACAGATAATTTGTGTAACGTGGAAAAATAGGTGAACGTAATAAAAAAAATTAATAAAAACTTGAATATTAGAAAAATCTATCAAAATAAAATTACAATTGTGTTAAAAAAAATTGCTGATTGCGTATATATAGCAACACAAGAATATTTTTGAATTTTTATAAAAAATTTTAATTTCTTCTTAGTTTGAGCAAATATATAGCAAATATATAATTTTTATAAGTTATATCTTCTTATTAAAATAATGTGGCATATGGTGGCATAAAAAGAACTTAACCGAGTTTCAATAATATAAATATTACAGTAATAATAATTTCTTTATATAAATTAAATTTCATTTATGCTATTAATACTAAAATAAATAAAACCCACCCTCCAAAAACTAAATATTGAAAAGAATGCAAGTTCATTCACTTCTGCTCTGACATGCTCTTCATAAAATTATGGAAGTAAAAATAATTTTCTGTATATTTGTTTGTTAAAAGAAATACTCACCAACCAGCAGCCCTCTGAGTTTGGGTTCAGCAACCTCGCCAAGCAAAACCTGCGAAGGTGCCGCGGCCAGCCCGACGGCCAGTCCGCAGAAGAGGCGGCCGATGAAGATGAAAAGGTGGCTGCCGGCCAAGGCCAACACCGTCCAGCCTATCAAGAAGGGCAGCACGCTGAGGCGCAGGGTGTTTCGGCGACCCCAATTCTCCATCAGGGTGCCGCTCAGGAGGGAGCCGATTGGGGTCGAGGCCGAGTGGATACTCGCTGCGAAAAAAAACCTTGAACTTCTTGCAAACCAGGAAGACAAACAGACGCAAACAAAGTGATGAAGCCAATTTAAAAGCAGTCTTATAATTTTCACGTCATCTCAAGAGGACTTCGCGTCTATAGCCGTTAGAATTGGTGTTCAAGTTTTGAGTCGCCAATTCATATAATCAGCCAAGGGTTCTTTGAACTTAGGCATCCTACGTGACAAAATACATACATCTGGCCTGATCTGTTCTATTTTTATTTTTACTATAATCACTTTGAAAGAAATTTTTAACCCAATTGTTTTGATTCAAACTTATGTAAAAAAGGGAATTGATTTAATAAAAAAAAAAAATAAACATAAATAAGCAAGAAAAATTAATGCCGCCCAAAATGGCCTTTTTGGCCAAAATTATCGTCAATAAATTTTTCCTAATTAATTGCATCATTAAATTAGGTATAAAGTTACAGCAAATATTAGACTATGACGTTTGTTTGCGTGGAGCCTTGACCCTGCCATATCGATCGAGATGAGACCGTTGATGGAGATGGACGTGGCTCGGAGATTATATCATGGAGAAAAGGGGATTCATGAGAGTAGATAAGTGTTTATTATGGTAATCTGCTAGTTCCGAAACTCCGAGAGGTCATTTGCACGAGACTGGTCACGTTTTCAAGAGATGGAGAAATGTGCGTGAAATATGCGGAAAAATATTTAATACTAAAAACTTATTAAACGAATTTTTTCCTTCTTATCTCTTGAAATCATATGGAGAAAATTCATAAAGTTGACATTGAAATAAATGCCAAAAAAATGCTTTTACTTCTGAAGCCTAAATTTAAATTTTAAAGTAGGTTTAAATAACATGCAAGCTCACCAATCCATGATCCTGTTTCCTCCGACGTTGGAATGGTGCTGTTTGGTGTTTGCAGTTGTGGCAGGAGGATTGCAGAAAATCCAATTGGCATTCCGCATCCCGCGGTTAGCAAAAATACTGCTCCAGCAACAAGACTCTAAAATTTAATTAAATGCAATCAATACATATGTAAATTTTTACGTTCAAGTTATTCCACTATAATCTATCGTTGTAAAAAGAAAAATAAAAACAATTCTTAAAAAAAAATCACTAGGATATTGCCAAAATTTTAATTTTCAAATACTATATGTTCCAATTTATGTATTTGTTGTGGAATGAACTGGTGATGTTTAAAAAAGGAAAAAAATAATAATAAGCCCTGTTTCTTCCAATTATTTTTAAGCGATGCTTGTATCATGCACGAGTGAGAACAATAAACAGCACCACCCCTTCGATTATTACTTGATTATTTATGCACTGCGCGGAAGCCTAGGAGGACAGGTGGCACAAGCCACAGTTTGCTGCACCGGCAGGGGGTGGCCAAGCGTGAATCCCCCTGGCCTCCGCTGCAACTCGCAAGTTTATTTCTGTACTCTGGCCGCGAGTGCAGAGCGAGAATTATTATGTAACGCGCAGTGCCGTAAAATTCAATGACTCTTGATTGCCGCCAAGTGTGATGAGTGGTCAGTCACACCGCGAGAAACAAAGGCCCTTGCGAATTAGGACCGGACGAATTTTCGAATTTGGGTCAATGACAAGCAGATCAAATTTTAATTAAATTGCTTTTGCGCTTTGCACATCGCATATTCTTTGATCTTGGAAGTGTTTTTATGTAAAATTTTTGTTGGGTAACAAACTGAAATAATTGATCTCTCATTGAATCCATACGAGTATATTATATAAGGAGCAGAATTCTATTTTTTCGTTTCCTCTATAAATTTTGGTTTCTTCAGATTTCAGATAAATTGACTGCAATTCTATTACTAAATCACTCATCTACAGTTATAATGTCAAAGTAAGCTATTGAGCAAAATTCATCATTTCAATACAAATAAGAGACCAATTTAAAAAATATATTTTATATTTTATTATCATTAAACCAAAGATAGTTTAACACAAAATAAGCAGTGTAAATATAAAAAAATTAATAATTTGTAGAAAATAATAATTTACAAAAACTTTAATATTATAAAATTAAATTTGCAATATTAATAAAAATTTTAATTGAAACTGTATTTAAACCAGAAGTTAACAATTTTGTCAATTTTATTTGTTTGCGATTGGTTATTTCAAATAAAGTTTATAAAAATGTTTTAAATAAATGGAGAACGACGAATGATTCAATTTGTTTCAATAAAAAGAAAGGGTTTCAATAAGTTAATTGTTAGAATTTGATTGTTTTAACTTAAGAAATATGAACATACGTGGTGACCTGCTATCCAATATTCACTATATTCAATCAGTTGGGCAATCTTTTTATTTGCTTATACTGGAATTTGTAAAATCTCAATTTTTCAATTCACTCGTTTATTGCATTACGAATTTTGAATTATCAGCAATTTCTAATATATTTTCTGTCTTTATATTATCTTACCATCCTCTTCCCTGAGAGCTGCTTGAAAAAAAAACAAATGCATGATGTGTTTAATCAAACTTGAAAATTTCACTATCAAAACTAATGATAAAATTTAAAGAAAAATAGGCTATGGTTTGGTCATGAGACTTGCATTATTCTGAATCTTATCATAATATATTTTTTTTTAACAAATAAGAAACAAATATTTGAAGAAAAAAATTAAAGTTGTTTGAAATAATTATAATTTCTTTGGTTTAATTATAATTTAGCAACATAAAAATGATTAGCGTTTCAGCGTTTCTATTGCTAAATTGTGTTATTAGGGCACTTGGATTGATAAAAGAACAGCAGCACCCGCACCGAGTAATAAATGCAAAAATTTCATGATAATCGCGCATATTAACAAGTCTGGGCGAACATAGAGAAAAGCAGTTTTATCCGTGCTAAAGGTCAATATATAAACAGAGCGGCTGTTTGATGCGATTCGCAAACGTCAGCAGCCGGCGTGGTTCGATCTGTGTCGCCGCCAGTGTTATTTTTTCCAGTCGGCCAGGCTGCAATAACAACCGACAAATCTCTTTTTTTAATCAAACGCTGTGCGCGTCAATTCAAGGCCGGCGGTAATGTGCAGGTTAAACGACGCGATTTGTGTCCGAGAGGCGCCCAACGATCGCTTTAACAACGCGAGTAAATATAGAGGCGCGCGTCCCAATTCTAATTGGAATAAGCGCATCACACACATGCTCTGTACCCGCATTAACCCTTTCAAAGGCAAATTAAATTATTTCAGAATGGATACAAAAACAGGTCTGGAAAATGTGGTCCATTTTCATTTTTTTTCTCCAGATAATTTAATAATATAAAATATTATTTAAAAAAACAGGAATTTGTAAGCATTGAAATTTAAACTATAGATTTGAATTTTCTATGATTCATTAATTTTACTGTTTTCTTTTTAAAATAAATTTAATTATTGACCAAAACTAATTTCCTCCATATTTATATTATCCTAAAACAGCGAAATGAAATTTTTAGGAAATTAAAAAAAAGCTAAAATAAAAATCATTCTGAAGGAACTTCTTCGCTTTTTTCTAAGCTCAATAAATATTTCGTTAGGCCAATCTTTCTTCATATTTCAACAAACCCATTGCAGCCACACTCAAAATATTTACACTCCGATAAGAAAAAAAATATACAAATATATTTTTCAGACAGCAATTTTCAAATATGGCAATCTTCATGATTTTTTTTTTTACCTGAGCAAAATATGCCTTGCTGTTTGAGTCCTTTGTGAGATCTGTGACACTTTTGACCTTTCCTATGGTGGTTTTCACCTCGCCGAGGTTGAGCATCGGTCCCTCCTCCTCCTCATCCTCGCACCTGCTCAAAAGCAAACACCAATATAAGACGAGACGCGAGCACAACAATAGCGCAAACTTGCTGGCGTGTTCAAATTTGCACTGCTTTGCAAATCGAAACAAGCGTGGGTGCTTTAGTGAGTCGCCGGCAATAAAAATTAAGAGCCTAGAACTGATGACGTTATGCAAGAGTGCTCGTGAAAATCTAAATGAGTTTATGTTTTTGTTCTAACAAAAATTAATTTTATTTTTCTTGTTAAATTTTAAAACCTTTTGCAAATTGTACTTTGTTTGCGATGCAATGCTAAAACAAGGAGGATAAATTAAAAAGAAGAAATAATTCCAAAACAACGAAATCTTACAGGAGGTGCATTTTTAGTATAGCAAATTTAATTATAAATCATTGCTTATTCTCTGGCTTCAAATTTTTATTATTCAATTACTGCATTATATTGAGAATCAACAATTTGTCTTATTTTATATATAATCATTCCCCAGGACAGCGCTATCCTTTTCAAAAATAACAGGAAGTTTTGTGGTCTACCATAGCTTTTATTAACTGTGTAATGAATGATGACATTTTTCTCTTAAACTTGGCAATTAAAAATAATGAAAAAGAGAAATCGAAATTTTTGATAATTTTTTTAAAAATTTCAAACGATTTGCCCAATTTATGTACTTTTCTGTTGTTGATTTTTTTTAAGTCGGAAATAAATTAAAATTTTCTATTCCAAATATATCCAATACTTTTTTATTACAAGAGTGTGTTTGGAAAATTAAAAATATGTTTACTCACTGCTGCTTTTTGTTCGGAGACTGCATGGTGTTGGGTGCGAGCGTGTCGGTGTTCAGTCCATGACTGCTGGTGCTCAACTGGTGCTCGCCCAAGACTCGGCCGAGTGAGTGAGTCACTGTGCTCAGCGCCGGTTCGCGCGACGAGTGCGAAAACCGTGGCCGAATTGAAAGTGGGATTTCCTCCTCCGTGCGTCTCCTCAATAGAGAGCCTAATTATCTTTATGCAGATGTTGTTCGATGGGTTGATCGATTGAAAAAAAAATAACGGTATGCCTTAATTGAATTGTGTTTGCCTGTGGCGTGGTCGGGAAAAAAGTAAAAGAGGACAAACACACGGACGTTGTGCGAGAGATGCACTTATCTGATGAAAGCATCGAAAGTTTTTCCATCTTTTTGTGCGGAGGTGAACAACTTTGTCGATGCGGCCTCGTCAGAATTCAGCTGGTGCGCGGAATTAAGACTTTGGACACCGGGTAACTTTTCACAATCTAATCTAATCTCATTGAGAGATTGAAAATAAAGTGGATTACACGATGGTAAACCCTTCTGACATAGCGCGTGCATGTTTGTTTCCATTTGCAAATATTCGCCCAGTCACTCTCCCGTCAACCTTTGAAATAAATATGCTAATTTACTGATTTTTGTAATGGTCAATATTAATATCATGCATCATGCATCATGCTTACTTTTTTATCTTACTTTTATTTAATATGTAAACATTTTTTCATTATTTTATATAATATTTTAGAAACTTAAAATTGAAGCGCATTAAAACCATTAAATATCAAAAAATTTTATTTAATAGTCAATGAAACCAGGAACAATATAAAAAACCCATCAGAATTAAAAAGCATCAATAAATTTAATTAATTAATTTAATCTAAAGTACTTTTTACAATAACTACTACACAAGCCTTTAAATGCTTGTCAGATTGTCAAGTGTAAATAAAAATACAGTATTTTGTTAAAGAGTATAAAGTTGTGCAATCAACATTAGTCGTTGAATTCCAGTTAATTATAGTTTTAAATTTTAATGACTAATTTATTTTTCGTTTAGTTGTCGTGTGTAAACCATAGAAATTCAATTCTCATTCAAGACAATTGAGATTGCTAATTAAAAGTAAAAAATATTGACATCAACAAATCGTTTTTAATACATTTGTTATTTCCCTCCTCAGTCAGTTTTATAAATTGCATTATTAAATATTCTTTTTACAGAAATTTTAGCAATTTATTGTTATGAAATTGAAACATGCGATATTATATTAGATTGAATCCTAATTTTCACAATTGTGTGAAAATATTGACTAATGTCTACCCGGTTTAAATATTAAAGACTATGACAGATTTAAATTTTGTCAGGAAAGCCTTGAGCTAAATCTTGCAATATTTTATTGCAACTTTCAGTTTCAAACACACATCAAATAAAATTACCCACATTAGACTGTCATCATCTTCTTGACTAACTAACTGGAGTCGTAATATCAAACCGGCCTGCCTTGCGAAGTGTCATCATGCGGGATCAGTTCGAGGCCGAAAATATAAAATCCCTCGTCTCGCGCAATAGGACAAACGCCTTTGATCCTAGGTGCTAAAAGGAGATTATTGCTGGGTTATATGGAAATAGATAAAACTAGTTTGGAGTGTGGCTCGGATTGGGCGTTTATTGCGCAGCATATTTATGTACAAATTGAAATTATTACGAATTGATTGGCGCTCCGCACGTTTCGCAGTGGCACTTGACACACTCGGTGCGGAGCCTTTCGTCGATCCAGGGCTCGATCTGGTGCCGTGAAGTACTTCACGTAGATGACCCTATCGGTTCGACGACCCCTCGTTGCGTCACCTCGCTGCACACACGTCGGGGTTAACACTTTTCTGCATGTAATATAATGTGAGCAATTGACGCGAAAACTGGGTTTGTGTTTACTGACGTGATTTACACTTAAGTGGACGGAAAGGTTTCATTGTGTTGTTGAGAAAATTCATTTGCGTAAAGCACTGAGGGTTGTTTGGTCCCTGGTTTTTTTATTTTTTTTTTTAAATCATATTTTTTCAAGGAGATTTACAAATATTTTCAGTTTGCACGCCTTAATTTTAGATTTATAATTTACGATTTGTTAAATTTGAAGTCTACTCATGGTAAGATATATTTTCTCCATCACATTTACTGCTCACTTAGCTTTAATGCTACAATTAAACTGAATACAAAACAACACACGTCGGAAAAAAATGACCAGAATGAAAACCTCTCTCTACTTATATGGCGAAACTATTGAATTTATACAATTTTTAAGACTAGATTTTTGTCATTTTTTTTTTTTTACAAAATATGACTTATATTCGACAGTGTGGATGGACGGGGTTTACTGACTAAGGAACGTTATTATTTCTTCTGTCGACGAAACGTTATTCGAGTGTCTCTTTAGCGTCTGACTGCAGACTGTTGTTGGTCACTCGGTCAGGTCACAGTCTGATCACCAACTCGGACAAGAGCTGCGAGTAGCTGTTGTCCAGCGAGGGCAGCATTGTCTTCTCACAATCCCTTGTAGGCATTGTCAAAACCTAAAAGATGAACAAAATTTAATTGTATCAATTAACAATCGTAAATATAACTTAAATTTAAATTAAATTTATGGAACTCACGAGTTATAAAAATTTTAAAACTTGTATTGATTAATTTTAAAAACAATTCTAAAAACTAGTCAAAATTTTTATGCCAATTTAAAAATATAAATTATATATGAAAGTGCAAAGGATGCTTTAAATTTAAAATTTGTAGTTCAATGTTTCTCCCTTTTTTGTTGTTTTCTGATTTGAATATTTTCATTCCTTTTTTTGAAAATCGCGTACCTGGCTGTGCATGGGAATCTTTTCGTAGAACGTTGGTTGCCGCAGCAAAGGCAAGGCCGCGTGGTCGGCGGCACTGCCCAGGCAAGGGTCATCGTCTTTGAGCACCCTGGCCATCAGGGTGGACGGCGTCTTCTTGGGTCGATTCCTCCGCAAGGGCGGAATGGCGGCGACCTCCTGCTCGACGCCCTTGAAGAGGCTGAAGAGCAGGTCAGTGTTGGCGGCGGTCACGATCGACATCTCGGGCCGGTTGTCCGAAGAGTCGGTGTCGCGCGTCAGGGGCGGAAGCACAGGGTAGACAGACCCTGGCGACACGTTGGCTGGCTTATTTGGCTGCACCCAAAAGGAGTGGGGCAGGGCTCGCAGTTTCATCGGCAGAGGGTCTGAAATGAAAAATTAAATAATAATATAGCCATACATAGGCCACTATAAATGGAATCGTTCAATGTGAATATTATTAATTTTCATTAATTATGTTAATTCCAAATTTAACCCATACATAGTTAAAAACTTAGACATTTTAACCGTCTTTCAAGTAACACGTCATATAATATGCTTGCTATGGTGTCTGATTATAATTAAAATATTATTTTGTGTATCTATGAAATGCTAATACTTTTTATTTAAATTCACTGAAAATTAGGAATAATGCTATCACAATTATCGTAATTTCTGACAATAAACGAAAAATACAAGACCACAATCATAAATATTAAAAATAAAATATTGTAATACTTTTACTTTAATTCTGCATCTCTATATAAATAAATTTTTATAAATATCTTTTAACCAAATTTAATAAAAATTAAAAAGAAAACAATTATAAATATATATATTTAAAAATATAAAACAACGATAAAATTTAATTATAAATTAATTGAAAATTAACATAATAAAATAATATTAAATAACTTTACATATAATTTTAACTGGGGGTTTTGAAGAACCTGATTTTGAAGCCCAATATAACTTTAATAAAATCCACCTTGATTGATAGCTTTACAGGTGTTTAATAATAAAATAATAATCTTTCCTTGCAAGCTAGTGGCAATCGCGGTTAAAATAATTATGATAAGAAACAATGAACACAATTTTCACGCCAAAATTTTATTGCTCTTATTTTTCAGAGTAATATTTTTGTCTAGAAACACAGTAATTGGACAGTGGCGCGTTCCATCTTCTAAAGGTTTTAACTGCCTTAACTGGCATTGTCCAAGCTAGCGAACTGGTCAATACATAAAGGCAATCCAATGGAATAACTTGGCATCGATTTATGTTAAAAACCCATATTATTTTTATAAGGGAGCAAAAGCGCCGCAAGAGTATAATTGAACCCAATCGATACTATGAAAAATGAATAATTTGTTTTTCCAGTGTGAAACTATTTAAAAAATTGTCCCTAACATTTGATTCTATTATTAAAGGGATGGGGAACGCGACGGCGGCAAAACTTTACAGGAGCGTGACGCGTTAAAAAAAAAAGCTATATTATTTTCCATAGTGGACACAAATGGCACAAACCAGGAAGGGGCGGGGGAGGGTTGCGCTAATCGTTCAACGCGTGGGCCTAAATTTACGCATAGAAAGCAACAACAACTGCTGCATATCCTTTGTAATCAAGATCACACGTGTGTGCTCACAGACGCGAAAAGTGCGGGAAAACGTTTGTCTCAATATTTGTTATAAATACTCCGCACCAAACTCCGTACTAAATAAATATATACTATTCAAATTGGTACTACAAAATTGAAAATAAAAAAAGCAAGTCAGAATGTCAATCGATGCGGTTAATTAAAAATTAAAAACAGATAAAGAAGTTTTGTAATTCTCATTTTGCACTAAAAAAATAAAATAATATAATATATATTATAATATAATATAATAATAATATATATCTAAAAAAACTTAAAAGCTGATGATATAATCAGATTGATCAGTTTAATTTTTAGGTTCATTTCACACTAACGCTCTGATTTTGAATTGAAATTTTTGTTTTCCAAGCAATTGCAAGTTGAATGATTCTGTGTTTATAATATAAATAAACTAGAATGTTCCTAAATTTGGAGATTTTATAAAACATAATTCTTGTCACTATCAATCTAATCAACCACAGTTTAACTAATTAATGATTTAAGTCAGTATTTTTTTTTTAACAAAAATTATTCATACTCTCGTGCGATAATTTACACCTTCTTGCTTTTTTTGAATCTATAAAACATGTTTCGTTGTTTTAATTAAATGGCTCCCAAACAAAAACAAAAATCGAATCGCGAACGTGCCACTTTTTAATAACTTCTTGAACTGACCTCTCTTGACCTGCGGCCTCGGGGGCAGCGGCTCGGGCTTGTTCTTGTTCTTGTGGTGCGCGTGGTGCTTGAAGCCGGGCCGCCTGGGCCCGTAGGTGGGCCCCGAGCCGCAACTGTCCGGCGAGCTGCAGTCCTCGACCTCGGTCAGCGAGTCGTCCTCGACGGAGCGCGCCTCAAGCACGGGCTTCCTCTTGCCGCTCATGCCCGCAGGTCATCACGCGAACGCACCCTGGTCGCGACTGCTAGGGTAGGTAGGTAGGTAGGGGGGCACTGCGTCGACGAGAGCGCACCTGCCACCTTCGTTCGACGCGAGCGACCTGCTGCCGGTTGCTATGTTGGGCCCTTTGGACGCACTCGGTTGCTAAGGCCGCGCGGGTGACGCGTGCTCCCTGCTTTGCACCCCCGGCCTGCGTCACGTGACGCGCCCCTGGCGTGCGGGTAGCCTAATCTCGGCTGGATGCTTTTGGCCCAACGGTCAAGGGGTTGCAGAATGCGTCTTATCTGATTTCTCCAGGCTGATTTACTGAAATGCGCGCTCGTTTAATTATGGATTTAATCTTCTTAACTTCCAGAGGTTGGAAATAGTTAAATGGATATTAATAACAATTTTGAGAATAAAAGTAACAAAAAACAGATTATAAATTTGGAGTTTGGAAAAGTAAATGAAATTGAAACAAGCTTTTGTATTTCTTCGAGTATCGTTTTATTCTCCTTCTCGGAATTTCTGTACAATCTCTTTGTCTCAATAAATGCATTACTAATTTCGACATGTCAATATTTTTTTTTTAACTTTCTCAACAGATAAAAATTCGTCAAATAATTTGCGCGACTCAAATCGACGAGACACGATTCCCTCGTCTGCACTAATTTTAACGATCGCACTTTTTAAATGCATATATTTATTTGTATATAATAATAATTTAGTTCCACATTACAATACATCGTCAGGTAAAAATCAACTGCGCATTAATGTTCAGCGTCCGCGGTTAGCACGTGTGTCAGTTTATTTACAGAAGCTCCAAAAAGCTGTACAAATGTATTTGCCTAACTAATTTCAAATCAATTTCAGTTTTGGGTGAGAGAGGCATAATAGATAAATCAAAGTAAAAACTAAAAATGAATGAGATTTGGGTTCATCTTAAGCAGAAATAATTAGTTTTTGTGCGCGTAACAAACACAGCCAACCCTCTAGGATACCGTCGTCTTGATCGCTTCTCGCTCGCTCGGTTAATTTACATAAATTGAATATTCGGTAACGCGTGTGAGTTTCTATGGGATAATTTTCTTTCAGTTTTTTTATTTCAATAAGTTAAGTGGACTAGAGATGCGAGATAACTCAACGAAAAATCGTTCTCTTCTTTTTAGCACCGCTGATGGGGAACGAGGTTGTCTTCGTCCTCCTCGTTGAGCGGCGGCACAGGCTTCAGCAAAATGCTCACAGGTCGCTGCGACTGCTGGTTGCCTGGTGTCTTTTTTGTGTCGCGCCGACGAACCTCGTGTGGCGACTGAAGCACTTCTGTGTACTCGCGGATCAAACTCGCGATTTGGAACGCCTGAGAACACATAAAATATGTATCATTAAATCCATATTTTATTATCATTTAACATAATTAACATATTCCTCAAGCATTTAGCCTTTTATGTGAGCTTAAATTATTTATACCAAATTATGACACCCACATATTTTAATTAACATTTTATTTGATCTGAAACTTGAAATACCTGAGAGGTGGTTAGGAGAACCTTGCTATGCTTTTTGTGCTGCTCGTTGCCCGTGATGATGATCATAAGGCAGTTGAGGGCAGGGCTGTAACTGAGAATGGAGTCGTAGTTGTAACTGCAGAGGCCGTGGCGCGACCTGTGCTCCAGAAGATGCAAACCAGTCTGGTCGACCGCCAGCCACAAAACTCTTGGCCAGTTCGACGTGAAAGATTGCTAATGAATTTTTAAGTTATTTTTCTACATTTTTATTCATTTGTGTATTTTTACCATGACATCAAAGATGGTTGCCCTGTGCAGGGGCCAGCTCTGGATGACGTTGAGGAAGGCCTTTTTCGACTCGGGGGCCGTCATGCCCCTCAAACTCTGGTGGTGCATTGCCACACTCTCACTCATGACGTTCTGCGCCATCAAAGCAGGCAGGCAATGGGCCGCAACTTCAGAGTAGTCCAAAAGTCCACCGTCTTCGAGTTCAGGCCTTGGGTCTGGACAGTCTCCGAGTTCCACCTGCGCCTGGATGGCCGTCAGCATTACCTGAAATCAAATCAAATTTGAACAATAACAATCAATCCTTTTTTTTTATTTTTGCATTGAAATTAAAAATCTCAAACAAAATTATATATAAAACGTTAAAAAATGTAGGGAATAGTAAAAGATTCAAATTATTTTGTATGAGGAAAATTAATTTTATAAATTAAAAAAGGTCAAAGACAGTTTATAAAATGTCTAATAATAATAGCTTAAGGATGATTTGATTTATTTGTGTCGATGTATGATTTTAATTCCACCAAAAATATATGACTAAAAAATTGTGGTAAAAACCAATTTAATGATAATTAATATTGGTTCGTAAATAATAAAAACTCACGGCATCTTTGTCAGAAACAGGGAAGCGGTCTGTTCGCAGCCCATGCAGCATCTGGTGGTAAAGCAATTCCTTTTCTACAGGGTCCGAGAGGTCCATGTACTGGTCGAGGAAGAGGTGCTTTTTGAAGAGGAAGAAGTGCATTTGGCGGCGGGACGGCTGCGGGTTGGGGCCGTTGGTGGCGGTGGCCACTCGGTAGCGCTCCCACTTGGACATGACGTCGGACAGTTTCTCGTCTGGCGCCAGGCTGCGCTCCGAGCTGCCCAGAACCTCGTAAATTGCGTAGCCTAGCATTTTAAATTCAATTGTTATTTAAAGAAAATTATTTTATTTTGAATTAAAACCTTTGGCGGTCTCCGGAAGTCCGACTTTGGCTTTGACCACGTCCAAAACGGCGCCTGCGGTGGCCGACGGGTGGAATTCGACGGCGTGATATTGCCCGTCCATGAAGTGGAAACGCGCGTAGATGGGCCGTCTGTTGATGGTGCACATTATTTCCTCCTTAGACGGGGCGAATTGCCTGCGTCTGGTGCCTTGCGTTCGATGCAAACACTGTAATCACAATCATTTGAAATCATTTAATTAACCTTTACTTGCAGAAGAAGATGAAAGGAAATTGTGTTTTTATAAAATCAATTATTATTGTGAATATTAAAAACACGTGTCGCATTTTTAGAAAAAGAGGAAGTCAATAATAGTTGAAAAAAAAAATATACAGAAAATTTAACAATGAATTTTTTTTCTATACAATATTTAAATTTTTATTTCACGTGGACAAAATATTTCATAGATTTTTGTTTAACTACCGGTGATTTTTGGCAATTTTTTTAAATTATGTTATTTAAGTTAATATGTTAATATTATCAAACAAATAGTACAGTTTATTTTTGGACTTTTATAGTTTGTAATCATATTCCTTAATTATTACTGGTATATTATAATAGGATTGGCTTGGCTTTAATGCAATTATATTATCCAAAATGATTATATGCTACGTATTATTTTATTGGAATTAAAAACTTAAATCTGAAAAATAATTATGTTATTTATATTTAAATGTCCATGTATGCATCATCTGATCCTAACTAAGCTGCATTTATATAATAAATTTAATAAATAAGTTTGGCAAATCAGCACGCAAAAGTAATTTTTTAATACATTTTGAATTTTTTAATGGAATAATAATCATTAAAAATTAATTGTAATCAAATTAATAAAATTAGTTTCAAATATTAAATACAACGGCAAAATTAATACAAAAAAATTTGTCTATTTCAACTTGAAACGACAGAAGTTTTGTAATTGTAAATTATATAAATTTCATAAGCCATTGATACAAATTAACAAAATATATTGTTATAGCAATACACATTTGACTAAAGTACCATCAAAATTTTATCTGTCAATCTTAAATTTACATAATAAAAGCCTCTATATTTGATGTCAATTCATGCGCATAAAATTGTTTGGAGTTCAATCTTACCTTGTCTGCAAACCTGGCGTACTTTCCCTCCTCGGTGACGTAATCGCTGCTGCACTTTTTCAAGTGCGCGATGAGGTACTTGCGCACCGCCTTGTCATGCGGCAGCACAACGGAGCACGTGAGCGACAAGAGGGCCCAGTGGCGCAGGTTGACCCTGGAGTTGGGGTCAGGGTGGTCGGTGGTCTGCTTGACGAGCTGCAGGTACAGCTCGTTGAGGAGGTTCTCCTTGTGCATGCAGCGCTCGATGATGCTCTGCAGCAGGTTGACGTGCTCCTCCTCGACGCGCCGCACCACGTCGCCGTTGTTGCCCAGCCCGGCGTAGTTCAGGATGGTGCCGAACACCTGCTTGGACAGTTGTTCCTCCTGCTCAGGCAACTTGCTCAGGCTCTGCAGCAACGCCGTCCGGCTGAACGCCCAGAAGCCGTATGGAAACCCGCGGTACGTTTCGCCCATTTCACCCGAAACGTTGCCTCCGAATTCGTGGCGCAACTTTTCCAAACGCTGCTTGCTCAGTCTGTTAGGAAAAATTTTCAATTTATATAGAAAATCGGGTTTTACGAAATTACTTTCGAAGGGTGTTTCTGATGAATCCGCCGCCCGTATCTTGCGGTTTCTTCAGAATTCCGGAGTCAACTAGGGATTTTCGGCAGTTCACTAAATTGTAGAAGAGACGCACCCTGTCTTCATTGGTCACGGGTTTGAGCTAGAAATATTTTTCCAGGATCAAAATTAATTATTCAGATGGATTAAAAGTTTTAACATCTTTTAAAAAAAAAATACAAAAGTTTTAAAAGGTGATTAAAGAAAATTATTTAAATCAGTTTAAAGTTAAAATAATTCATGAATAGCACAAGCTACATCTATAAAAAGATATCAAATGTTTTTCAGAAGCAAATAAATAGCAATAAAAAAATTGAGTCCTTAAGATAAACAATTATATGCGCCAGTAACATAAAGTATAGTTAAAAATATTAAGTTTGGTATTTAATTTAAAAAATTTAAAGTTTAATTTAATTGATAAATTTATACAATAACTTTTATATTTATATTATTATTTTAAAGTAATATTTAAAATTTTTTTTGTCAATACTATTAAATATTATAATAATATTTAACTTTATTTAATCTGTTTCAATAACATTTGGATCTTATTTATAAAAAATGACCTGAAAGGTATATATTAACTTCTGCAAATCATGATAATATAGGAGAAAATAAATTTTACTAAGATGCTGTTGCATTTGATTATTTAAATCCAAATGAAAAAGAAAATTATTATTTGGGAACTCAAATTGGAACATAGAAAAATAATAGGTGAAGAATTTAAACCAGTCTCAAATTTTAGATAATATTAATTGCATAGAAAAAACCTAATAAATTTTAACCTTTCGAGGTGGCGCCTCAGACTCTGAAATCCATCCGGCAAGTGCCGGACAGTAACTGGCCACCAGAGAGCCGATCTCAGCCTTATGGGGCGTTTCAAAGACGAAACACTTGTTGTGGCTCTCTGGCATCAACTTCATCAAATTGATTGTGACGAAGCTGTCACTAGGGTCTAGGAAAATGGACTCAATGTCCCCGTAGCGGTACTCGTTCAGGACAAATTTGTCATCGGGCTTGATCATCAGCAGCCCCTCGCAGTTCACTCCGAGAATCAGATTGTTTCCTAAATATTTTCAAATTTATTTTGAATGAAACTTATATTTATTTTGGACTGACCATACGACCAGTAGCCTCTGTAGGTGACGGGGAACATGGTGGTTCCGTACAGGGGGTACTGCATCACACAAGACAGGTAGAGCACTTTAGCGGCCAACTCGGTCCGACCGGTGCCGTACTGCTGGTGAGCCTGGGCGATGATGGGCACCCACTGCTCGTCAGGTCGCGTCCTGCTTATCCGGTAGGGCAGGAAGGCGTCAATGTCCTGGTAGTAGTCCAGCTTGTTGGGTTTTGGGTTGCCGAGGGCCACTTGAGCTTGCAAACCGCACAACTGGAGCGCCACTTTTTGGCTCACAGGGAAGTCATCACACTGAAAAATTTAAAAGAAATTCAGCGGATTTTTCAGTGCGATTTTGAATTTGAAAAAAAAATGCGTTTTGAGATTACTTTTGCAGAAAAAATTGAAAAAACAAAGTTATAGCAACTGATGAAACTAAAGGAGGGAAATATTTTCGTCAATTAACCAGTAATTTAAATTCAAACAAATTCATAATGGCTTTTATTAAATTTACCTTAACTACGCTATAGACTGCTTGAGCATAGAGAAGGCTAATTTCAACCGGGTCCTGTGACAGTTCTCTTCCCGCCTTGAACAGCCTTTTCTTGAATACAAATCTATTCTCTCCGTTTCCTAGGGTTGGGGCATTTCTGCGTGACATGGTTGAGAAAGACGATTTGTTGTTGTTGTCTGCGCTGGGTGTTTGGTTTGGCTTGTTTTGTTTCCTTGAATGCAAAAGTTCAATCTTAGTATTTAAACTACAAGAAATTTTTGGAAGATATTTTCATTTATAATATATTTGAATAGATTCTTTTTCCTTTTTTAAATTATTCATAAGACATTTATGCAGTTCAACAAATTTAAAAATAACAATAATTTTTCTTGCATCAAAATATCAGTTTTGCTATTTTGAGTAAATAGGAAATATATATTTATTATTTACACCAAAAATAGCAGTTATTGATTTTTTTCTACTCACAATTCCCAGGCAGCTATCACATCGTAAAGGTAGTCGTGGGCCCTGACGTGCTCCTCGCCATCAGGTCGGCTCTGATAAATGGCCCAGCCGTCCAAACTCCTCAGCCCCAGTTTTTCCGCCAACTTGATCCCAGCGTCCCAGGCCGTGTCCGTCGGGTGTACGTCGATGGCCTTGGTTCGACCGTCCAGGAAGAAAAACCTACAAACTATGGTGCCTAGCCGCTTCATAGCCTGTGATTTAATTTTTGTTTAAAAAGAAAAATCACAACACAAAAAATAATTTTACCGCTATTTCAACAGTGGAAGGTGCGTGCTGTCTAGGTGACACTTTGATATTTTTACAATTGTCCAAACACCACTCCACATACTGCCGCAGCTTCCCATCTAGCTCATGCTTATTTTTGCGCAGGAAGCATACAAAGTACTGCAAAGAATATAAATATATAATATATTATAGGCATAAATTTAATGCAAATTTTTATCGAATTGATTTGAATTTTCTCTCAGGATGTTTGTTTGTTTCCAACAGAAAATTCAATTTTTAAAAGATCTTAAATTTGTGAAGAAAATAAATTTTCTATTGATTTTTTTTTTTACACAAACGTGTTTTGCAAGCTGAAGAAAAAAATGAAAATTTATTCTAAACACACAATTAATGAATTATAAGAAGTTCTGTATTTGAATGATAAATTTGATTTCAAGAATCATTAGCTGCAATAATTTGAAAATATTAATAAATATAATTTTTACTTACTTTGAAGAGGAGTTTAGTAGGTTGGAAGGCCACGATGCTCAGACAGAGCAGGAGCCACACACGTTCTGTGGACTCCATGCTGGGATTATTGGTCGCCTGTCTCATACACTGGACGAAGATTTCGTCCCTCAGTTCTTCTCTCTCAAGCCCATTGGCAATGATAGTCTGAATCGCTTGGGCCTCGGCGTCCGGCTTCAGCTCGCCTCGGATGTACCGACAAAGCTCCTGATTTGTAAATTTCATAAATTAACTTTTTTAATATCAACTTGTTCACACAAGCAGAGAAAACAGTTGCATTGTATTGTAGAAGAAAATCAAAGAACTTAAGCTGTGAAGCAGTAATAATTTAGGAAAAAATTAAAAGAAATTCCTTTTCTTTTGTAATTTTTCTTCCAGATTCACAAAAAATATACATACAACAATTAATTAAATTAAGAAAATTAATGCATATCATAAAATTAAATGATATTTTATTAAATTGACGTTGACGATGATATTCAATCATACTCTGTACTTGCCCTAAATAAGGAGCAGGCGATGTTGACGTTGTCGGGGTCGTACATGTGGACGTGCGAGGTCGGAATGGTGTTGCCCTTGAAGTAGGTGACCATCTCGTACTTGGGAATCACCTCCATCGACTTCTTGTTCCTGGTCAGGGTGGCCATTATGGTGCCCTCAGGAGATCGCTCGTGGTTGTTGAAGTAATTGTGCGCGAACTCGACAATGTCGTGGTGCACGTCAGGGTGCTCCAGAATATTTTCCTCCTGCTGTTGCTGCATTTCCTGCAACTTCCTCTCCACCCTGAATCGCCGGCGCGCCTCCCTCTCCTCGTCCTCCTGAGACGCGGTCCTGCCGTTTGCAAAGCGCCAGTTCTGTCCTCCCTATTAAATTTATGTTAAAAACAAATCAAAATTTGTTTGAAAACTAAAACTTACGCTGCTGGAAGCTCTTGAGTTTGGCCGGCTGTGTCTCGGCGAAGCGCAATTCGGAGAGATTGACCTCCTGGACGGTGTTCGTTGACCTTGCGGACTCGTTCCTCGCTGCAGCTTTTCAACTCCAGGACTTTTTGGTCTGAGAGCTTTGTTGTTGGCGGTGACAGCAACTGGAGGCGGCAGAACGGGAGAAGTTACTTCACCATCTCTTGGCAAAACTGCTTCGTAAATCGGCTCGTCATCAGCAGATTCTAAAAAAAGAGGCAAAATTAAAAAATAAATTTATTTGAAGTTCTTCCAATCTCTTTGTTTGCTACTTAACTAGCAACGATTAGCTTTTTATATAATTGTTAATATTAGCTTTTATATTTTGCTCATTTAGTTTTAGTTTTTTTTTGTAAATGAACTTCAAACATTATTAATTTTGTATTATAAAATTAATAAAATTTCTCAGAAATTGTGCTTTTAGCTTTTCAATAAATCAGTGGAAACTTGAAATTTTAATTGCTTTTTGAATATATTTCTATTTAAAAAAATATATAAAATGATTGGTTTATTTGAAACTTCATTTTTTATTTATTTGCATACCTGGTATGGGGGGTGGCGGTGGAAGCGCGTCTGGCGTTTGGTCGTTGGTCCAAATGTTGGACACAGGCGGTGGCGGTGGAGGCTCGGTGGGCTCCGGAAGCGTACTTTGGTGCACCCACTGGCGAGTGCTGGTGAGATCGAGGCTGGAGGGGGGGTTGGAGGGTGGCAGCGGAAGGGCTCCGGTGGGCAACGGGGGCGCGTTGTTGGCCTTCATCGCCTCCTGCAGGACGATTTCCAACTCTTCGTCCAGGTCGTCGCACAAATCGTTCATCTGGTTGCCGATTTCATCGATCACCGAGTTCTTGACTTGGACGTCGGACAAAAAGGCAAACAGGTTGTCCAAGTCGACGCTGTCCGTCTTGTTGAGCGGCGGCTGCTCTGCCATTTTGCAGTTGAGCTGCTCGGTGAGTTGCGACAACTGAGCGATTTCTTGTTGCGCCAGTCTAGAAATTTTTCATAGTTAAAAAACTTGAATTCCTGATAACATTTTGCTGAATATTTGTTACCCCTGTTTATCTCTACGCTTGCTTTAAACGTAAGGCAAGAGAATATTTGTAAAATTAGAGAATAAAATAAATCATTTAAAAAAAATCCACCAACCGTTCTGACTCCTCCAAGCTCTGTTGCATTTCCTTAGCCTCCAGGGCTTCTCTGGCTTTTCGCTCCTCTTCCATTCTTTCCCTCTTCAGCATTTCCTGCTCCACTCTCCTCATTTCCCTCAGTGCACTTGCGACCTTTTGTCAGAAATTAAGTTTTGCATTAGTTAATTAATTCGGCAAATACAATAAAGAAAAAAATCATTGAACGAAAAGAGAAAAATTTTCATCAATAAAATTTACCTCGCGCGCAAAAACGCCTCGCAGATGGGACTGTATCACAATTGCCGCCCTTCTCTGCCTGAGGAACAAAATTCGCTGTTTCCATCCCCTGTAACCGTGTTGTATTGTCATTGCCGCTTCCCTTATCTTCAAGTACTCTGTGAATAAAAAATTAAACATTATAAAAATGGTAAAAAGTAACTATGAAAAAAAAACACATAATTTTATTAAAGTTTGTAATGAGGGGAAATAAATGAAAATTTCAATTTCAAAATTTCATACCCTTCATAGCTTTGTATCTCTTCCAGGACCTCTGAATGACTAGAGCTTGGTGCTGGACAATCTGCATTCTTTTTTCTTCTAATGGCTCGTGGACGCACCGACGTAAAAACAACTTGGTTTTGCCAATTTGCCATTCTGTGTTTGCTACATTTAAAGGGCCAATAATCATTCTGGAAGTTAAATATATTTTGAGTAAAAATTAATTTAACTTATTTAATACAGTACTTAATAGCTTCTTGGGTGTTCAACTGCAGCCACATTGGATTTCTTTTGGGGGTTAGCAGGCAGGAGTAACGCTGGACAAAGTCGTAGAACGGAACGTGAACAGGGAAGCCTTCCTTTCTAATTTTGATGATTTCCAGCATTCCCAGGTATTTCAGCTGATCTAGCACTAACTGGTCGTCGTAACTCGAGGAAGACTTTTGCATATTAGGTTTTATGCACCTCACATACCTATAAAAAAATATTATTCAGAATTTATAATAAATAATATTTACTTAACTATTCATTGTAAAATAGCTTTTCTTAAACATTATAATATAAAAGTTTGCACAATAATTTCCATAGCTTACAAAAAATATTGTTTAAAAATTATGATAAAATTATTGTATTAAAAATAACAAGGATGGGCTCGCTTCTCGCACATCCCTTTCGGTGTGCATGGAAGTGCAATTTAAGTGTTGTGCACTAAAATTTTTAATATTAATAAAATATAATGATTATTTTTATTATTATTAGACTAAGTTTTATATTTACATATTTAATACTTTAATATTAATATATTTAGTAAAACAATTATTTTCTTTTTTTTTACTTTTTATACTATTTTTGTTATTGCCGTTTTTTAATTTTAAATTTTATTTAATTTTTTGTGGTTTTATAAATATTTATAATATTTCATTGTAAGTTGTTAGATATTTAATATTAACATTTATTGTTCTCCACCGTTTCTTGTTCTCACAAAGTTTAAACAACAATAATTTTAAATATTTGAATATTTTTCAATGGCTTGTCATTCCCTCTTCATTTGCTCTATGTATATGTAAAATTTAATTTTTACCAAGGGTTTGTGGCTTGGAGAACGTCAACAAGGGACTGCAGTTGTTGCCTGAAGGTATCACTGACGGTCGGCTTGCCCTTGCTGGTGCCAGGGCGAGCCAGGGTGGTGCCTCCGGAGCCGATGCTGGAGCGGCCCGAGGTGCTGACGCGGCTGGCGGAGGCGCCCAGCAGGTCTTGGAACTGCGTCAGTTCAACGATGAACTTGTTGTTGGAGCGGCTCATGAAGTCGAAGAACACGTCCTGCTGGACGTCCCTGTTCTTGTCCACGAAGCCCTTTACGCTGTAGGTCACTGCCCCTGCGTAGTGCAGGATGCCGAACTCGGTCTCCCACTTGCGGCGGTCGTCGCCCTTGACAAAGTGCGGGTGGCTCTCAAAGTCGCCGTGCAAGTTGGTCAGGTACGCGACGTCGGAGCCCTGCGAAACCGAGAAGAGATGGATCGTCGCCCCCACAACTAGAGTGATTTAGTGTTTAATTTACCTTGGGCATGTGGCACTGTTCTGTCAGAAGTTTGAGGATGCACCGGGGCGGCTTTTCAATCAGCTCAAGGCAGCTGGTGTTGTCAGTGAACTGAATGTGGGCGAAATCAATTTCCTCCTGTCGGTACTGCAACACACACGACTCTTTTAGTTATTTATTTCAATTAATTTCTCTCTTTTGAGAAGTCGTATGACAATTAAATTCTCAAACATTATTGCAAGATGAGCTACATTAATAATTAAAAATATTGAATTCAGTTAAAAAATCGGAATAAGAACTCATTGTAAATTATAATTAAATGGAAGAAGTAATTTAATGATATTAGTTACGCTTGTTTATTTTTTCTTTCGAATTATTAAATTTTAAATAATTGTTAGAAGAAAATCTAAATGATTAAATTTGAATAAAAATGAAATTTTAAATTCTATGAATAGAACCCTGTTTGAGTTTAATTGATCGATTTTTCTGTCATAATTTTTAATCAGGAAATCTATTATAGAAGAAAGGGAAATCGTCTCTCAATAATTTGTAAACGCCAAAATATTTTTTTTAAAATTGTGCATTAACATTTCCATGTTTTAAAATAAATTATTTCATTCTATCACAACAAGTCTAAAACATATATATTAGTAGATTAGAGAGAAATGAAATGAGAGGAACAATTTATTTCCAACCGAGTCGCTTCTCCTTTTGTTCAAAGATCAAAGCTTTAGTGTGCAACTTTAGTTTTGCAACCCCATTCATAATTAGTAGTGCTTTTATTCGGAATGCTTTGAAACTGGTTTCAATTGGACTGCCAGTTGGAAAGAAGCCGCAGCGCTTCTCTCTTTGTTTAATGGAGAGCCTGCAGAAAACGATGGCTATGCAACTGGCTCGTCTCCCGCGCTGGCACAGGTTGCATAACTCCGTGATTGGAACGGCGCCAAATGGAAAGAAAGATTTTATCGACTCACGATTTCCTGCTCCAGCGCGAAAACATAGTGGTTGAAGAACTTGTGCAGCTTCTCGTTGGTGTAGTTGATGCACAGTTGTTCGAACGAGTTGCACACGAAGTTCTCGAAACCGAAAATGTCGAGGACGCCGAGGAAGCGCGTCGAATCTTGGCCGGGGTTGGTGCATGTGTTGATGTGATTCACCAGCCAGGCGAACGTCCTCGAGTACAACGCTTTGGCCATCGCGTGTCTGTTCTCGCGAGCCTGATAAAAGAGCAATGAAAGTTTTATTTTATTGCTGTAATGAGGTTTTACGACCGGCGGCTAGAAAGTCAAAATCGTTGAAGCCATTTTAACCACGGAACGTTGCACCTTTTTTAAGTTTTCAAGGTCAAAACGCAGTACGTTGCATGAATTTCTCATTAAAAACGGCGTAAATACAAAAATTTTATTTGATTTTTTAACATTAGACTTCTTGTTAATTGAAACATTTTTAAACACAATAGGGAGTTCTGTTCCAAATTTTCACAATATATAAGAAAATTTATTAATTATTGTTACAAAGGTTAAAAAAATTCAAAATATAAACCAATAAATGAAGATATTAAAAATTTATAATACATTAATGTTTTTAAAGGTTTGATAGTAATATATCTTATTTTATTTTAATGTTTGCAATGAAATTTGTACACAGCGTGTAACGTAGTTTTGTTTTTAATGTTTGTTTTCCGACAAACGATTCTATTGTAACAGAAGCTTGAACAAAAGTATTAAAAAAAAAAACAATAAAAAATAATAAAAAAGCGAGTAAAACAAAGTTCTTTGGGCCTAAACCTGAAATTTAAACTAATTAATACATATAAAAAATCCAATTTAAATAAATTTTTCATATTTTTTAATGATTTTGAAAAAAGATTGATTAAACATATAATATATTTAAAGTAAATATTAATTTATGAAAGGTTAATTGATCAGATTAGCTAACCTCTTGCAGTTTGAGCGGAATTTCAGTTATGTTGCCTCGGACGTTGATCTGCCTCATGAGGGCCACGTGCTGCATGTCCTCCAAGTTGAGCCCCAAGAGTTCCGACACCGTCTGCAGAATTTCGTTGTCTCCTTCCATGAGGGCGCACTTCTCGCCATCCACGTCCTGAAACTGGATGTTGCCCAGCCAGAGGATGGCGGAAAGGACGCTGAAGATTCCGTCGCTCATTTCTGGCTGGATTTGCAGAACGTTGAAGGCCAAGCGCAGAGCATCAAAGCGGCGCGCGTCGTCCACGCCATCGATTTTCGGACAGCCCGATTGATTGATGTAATTGTAAAACTCGGCGTTGCGCAATTTGAACTGCTGCGCCAGATCTTTGCTCGTCTGAAAAATTAAATTCATATTATTAATTAATTAAGGACAGAAATAAACTTCAATTTGCGTGAATTTAAAAATATTGTATTTCTTCCAACTTTTCTCAAAAAGATCACTTTATTTTGTATGGTTTTGAAAAAATTAATTAGAAGATATATTTTTCTTATATTTTATCTGAAAATAAGCACATTGATTTGTATTTTTTTCTTCTTACTTTGGCACCGGCGACTAGTTGGTAAAAGACGTGGTAGTTTCGCTCCTCAGAACTTTGAAACGTGATCCTGCTTTGTTCCAAAAGGTAGTCCTGAATGATGCAGCCCTTGATCATCCACCTGTTGTCAAAGCACACCTGCATGAACTTGCCGAAGCGGCTCGAGTTGTCGTTCCGAACGGTTTTGGCATTGCCTAAAAACATTTACCCATGTCATTATTTTTTAATATTATAATTTCATAGAAAGTAAATTTGTTCACTTGCATAATGTACTCAAGCAGATATTAGGATAAATTTTCAATCTTAACATAAAGAGGCGCATGAAACCAGGATTTGTCACTTAGAAAAAAGTTATCTGTAAACTTGATAATTTCAATAATTTATATATTATTAAAAATACTTATATTTGGTCTACCAGAATTTTACACTTTATAATCCACATCCCTGTTCGGAAACTTTATTTCGATCTAACATATATTGTAATTTATAATTAATCTGTTCAATTTTCAAAAGAAATATGATAAACATAATAATAAATAAAAATGTTTTATTAAAACTCTTATTTTAATTGAAACAAAAAAATAAAAATAAAAATTTACATTACTAATTGTAAGTTAGAAAAATAAAATATATTTTCTACCAAAGGCCTCTAGGATGGTGTTGGCCTCAAGAATCTGCTGCTCGACCCAGGTGCTGACGTTGCTGGTGACCGAGCAGAGGTACTGCAGAATGAACTTGGTGGTCTCCGTTTTGCCGGCGCCGCTCTCGCCTGAGATGACACAACTCTGGTTGCAGGCGACGTCCTCATCTTCAAAGTCAGCCGCCTGCAGCGAGTGATAGGCCGCCTGGGCCAGCGCGAACACGTGCGGCTCCAACGAGCCCAGCTTGGAACCATGGTAACGAAAAACAGATTCCTGAAAGCAGCATCATTTGGAATTTTAATTTTTTTATGTCCAAATAAATGGAATCAAGGCAGGAAAAATTTATAAAAAAAATCCAAGGGTTTTTCTTTATAATTTTAAGTAGTTCAGAAGATTTCGGAGCTTTAATGATGGAAAATTGTAATCAGTTTTTTTTTCATTGAGGTTGAAATTGTACACGCAACTTTTTTTTACAAAAATCAACATTTTATTTTTAACAGCCCTTTGAATCCTTGTTTTTGAGGCTTTCAAAAATTGCCTCTCCCTTGACTCTTGTTTTCCAGTTCTCTCTATTGTGTGGATTCGCAGCCACCGGTTTGGAAAAAACACCCCTGCACTCAGACAGGCTTAAAATGTTTGCTTTCTGCGCTTTGCACAAAAACAAGAGCCCTCTGCGGCGGCTCCCCCATCGGAACGTGGCAGAAAAATAAAAGTAAATTGCAGGTGCACGTGTCTTTTTTGGACGCAATTTGGGGTCGGCGCCCCCTTCCTTATCTCGGTGCAGCTCTACCTGTTCTCCTGAGAGGGGCGAGCGAGAAAATTGGCTTTTCTCGCGAGCGTCGTCGCGAATAAATTCAGGGGAGCTCAATGAAGTAATCACAATTTATCACCGCTCCCGAATGCTGCTTTTTTGCATTTTTACGGCGAAAATAAAAGAGTCGTTTGTCTCGACTTGACGGCGCCCTGGAGATGTGGGCGTGAAAATTATAACCCTTGCTGTCCCCTGACTACCATTTATTTCAAAACCAACTGCGTGAAATTGAAACTTTTTCGCACAAAATATTACAATATTAAGAGACAAACGGGCTTAATTTCATCACTGAAGTTTCATTGTTGGATTTGGGAAAAGCGAGCCCAAATCTCCAACCAATTCTATCGCATGAAAATCAAAATAAACAAAACAATAAAAAATTATTTTAACCGAGAAATTAGCTTAAATTAAATTTTTGTAATACTTTTGTCTAATGGTCAAAATAATTACAAATATTTTGAGGACATTTTTGATAAATTTTTAAGGAATATACTAAAAATAATTTGTTGCACCTCCACCGTTAGCCCAAATTTTGCAAAAAAAAGCATTTTTATTTTGAGACGCCATATTTGCCACGGTGAGCCTTTTATGCTTTAGTTTAGCTGCAAAGCCAAAAATTTATAATAAGTACATAAATTTTATTTTCTTTGATTAAATTTTATATATAATATAATTTTTGAAATATAAAATATATAAATAATATTTATTTGTCATTTTAAATAAATTTTATATTTTTTTTAAAGGGACTTTATAAAACATATTAAAAATATGAAAATATAATAAATAATATTTCCTACTTTATTTTAACATTTTGTATTATTATTAAATTTCAATATATTTGTCAAACTTGCATTCTGTAGAAGTTATATCGGATGCAAATTTAAGCTGTCTGTGCTCGACTTGTTACTTGTTGTTGATTAGATGTATCATTTAACTTCAACATAATTATTCAACACACGTTACTAGATTACATAATAAGAAAGCTAGCCTACAGAATAATTGAAAATAATTGAGATTTTATATATATTTTCAAATAATAAACGTGATATTTAAATTAATTATAAAAGTGAAATTCCTTTTTTTTTCTCTATGTCTGTCACCTTAATTTTCCAATTCTTCTCTAAAATTCATTTTATCTTTATCTATATGACATCGATTGAAACTCGCAGGTTTTCTCTTTTTTGCGTTGCGTTCACCCGCAAAACTGTATAATTATAATCAGCTCCTGCACACGCGGCTCGGGGCGCGTTTCGCAGACGCATTGTGTCGCGGGGGTGAATTTCATTTTGCATTATTTCTCGCATCGAGTTTTTTGCGCGACTGCCTGCGAGGCAAATGGCGACGAGCGAAATTAAAAATATTCCGACTCGACGGAGCGTGCACGCGGAAGGCAATAAACAAAATCGTGGAGTGCTTTGTGGGGTGAGCCGAATTTTTGCATGTCCTTGCCGCTCTGCAAAAATGGAATAAAGTGCTGCTCGATTTGCTGCACCCCCAGGCGGATTTTCGGTGGCTGATGACATACATAACAGTCATGGCATTTATCGACTTGCACAATGTCAATTTTGGCGTAATATAGTGCTGTGTGTGTGTGTTGGCGAACAGAAAATAACATTACTGTTGGGATGAGTCGATTTCAATATAAAAACAATTTACTTAAATCAACTTCCATCTTTTACTCTATCAGAAGAAAAACTGGAGAGAAACAATAAATTTAATTTAATATTTGGCTAATATTATTTCATAATATATGCAATTGCAGTACAAGTGTAACTTGAGATTGGCAAAAAATACTTTTTTTTTCATTTTACGAATTTAATTTAAAACTCAATCATTAGAAACGATAATTAAGTAAAAAATATTTACAAACATCGCAATGAAAAAGTAAATTCTTCAGCTAAAATAGTCCTTAAGCCTAAGCACAAATAACAAAAAGAAGCCAAAACCATAATCAAAACTGAAAATTTATATTAACCATTACCGAAGAATACGTACTTCCGATGTGGGGAATAACAAGATTTCAGCAAGACAATAAAATTCATCCTGAAGTAAATGAACGTGGAAGTTTAAAGGTGCGAATAGATAATTTAATGACGAGTATGAGGACAGTGATAAAAATTACTCAGATTGGTGGATTTTTAGGAACAGACTAAGTCACGGTGAATACAATTAATAATGAAATTTTATCAGCTCTTTTTTGACACTGCCAACACGATCGTCGCTTTTTTTATCAATTCCAAACAATTAAAAAAAAAAATAGTATAAATAATTAATTTACTATCGTTTCTACCATGTTGGATTTTGCACTTTCATAAAATATTAAAAGCTTAAATATAAATTCACTTTTTAATTTGGAGCTTTTTTAAAGTTTATTATCTGAAACATTATTCGTTTAACTTGGTTAAAAATTTCTTTGAAAAATAAACGACGATCTCAAAGTTTTTCTGGCTCAACTTCCTCAGTCTTGAGCTGGCGAGAGAGACATTTTGCCCGCCTCTGTGCATTTTTAAAGAGCAAAAAATCAGCAAATATTTATGCAGCAGAGGCAACTTTCGCACTCTCCAGGGACCACGTTTTCAGTTCTGAAAATTGCAATTTATTGCCGCGAAGCTCGCAACAACTCTCTCCCCTCGTCGCTCCCGGAAAATCCCGCTGCTCTTCACTTTGAGCATTTTTCCAGCCAGCAGCAGCGGCAGATAAACATCAAGCGTATTGTTATCTAATTTGGTGTTGCCAATAAAAGGCAGACGAAGGCAGGGCGATTGGACGCGCGGGGCGAAATTCCTCCGACTGCCGACGCGAACAAGAATAATAGACAAACAAAGAGAAAGAAAGGAACAAACGGGCACGGACGGGAGATCAACAGAGCCGAGTGGGTATGTATTCGGTGAATGTGCTGAGGCGCATTCGGCAGATCGATATTCTCGGGCCCTGCTGCTCTCGCAGCCCTTTGCTTCATTCAGTGCCACGCCCAGCGCACGCTATTCTCTCTGCTCGCTCGTTCGCTGCTTATCCCTGCAATGCCAGCAATTAAACTTGTCCGCCGGCCACCCCACGCGAATATGTGTGCATCACAAATTCACCTGCATATTAAATTTATACATTAGCCAGCAAAAAGTGGGCCACGAGAATTGCACGACAACAAAACAAAGCAAGCAAATAAAGAGTGTGATGAAATTGTTGCATAAGAATTTTACAAAAATAAAATTCCCCGAGCCTTTTGACATGCATTTTTAAATAAAAATTTAGGGCTATAGTTAATAAAATTAATTAAGGTTGAAAATCCCAATTCAGCGAAAAATTAAGTTTAGAGTCAGCGTATTAAGATGGTTTTTAATTTATGGCTTATGGCTGGGTTTGCAAAAATTTGGCTCGTATATATAACCTTATATTAAAAATAAATAAAAGCTGATTTCAAACTGCAGGAAATGTTGTAAAAGCAAGCAATTATAAAAAGCTAAGAATTTTCCTTCATAAAATATAAATATTACAATATTATTTAAAGAAAATGCGATTAAATGTAACCGTAGGATCAAGCTACCTTTTTAATTAAAACTATGTATTAATTCAATAGGAAATAAAATAAAAATTAAATAAAATAATTTAAACTAATAAATATACACATAAATTTCAATTATTCTAATTTTATTTAATTAAGTGAATGGAGTGTACCAGAAAGAACTAACTTGTCTCATTAATGCAACGCACAAAAGATGAAATAATGATAATAAATTATTATAATTATTATAAATTTGAAACTCTTATTGTTTAAATTTTATTCATGATCTAAAATATTTTATATTCCTTGAATTAACATGACTTCACGAGTCATGAGCACTTTCAAATAAATTTTATAGACCCAATTTGATGAAATCATCCAAATTAAATATTTTTAATTGAATAAATTGAAGGATTGAGACGTAAATAATTTTTGCTCGCAGGGCAAATTTTAGCTTCTCTTGAATGCGGCTTTAGTGGGGACGTTGTTCCAAATTAGGAGCTACAAATCCGCCTCCCCACAGCAATGAATTCTATTGCCCCACTGCAGGTGCGAATTCGGCGGCTTATGCAATGTGCCGGTGGCGAGAGCGTTGCCGGTTGCCTATCTGTTAAACGGCCGCAGCTCCACTGCTGCTCTACTAATAATATAATGCGCCTCTCGCATTATAACACGGCGCTCTCTTAATTTAACATGACTCGCGGGACGTGCAGGTTCGCCGTTCAATTAGGCGTCGCGGAATTAAAACAAACTGCCTCGTTATTCGAACGCTCACGTCCGTTTTCCCCTGCTTCGATATAATTTACGCGAATATTTCGACCCCGAGGGCGGAAAAAAAAGAAATATATACGTGCGGGGTTCGCAGATGTGCGTCATGTTAAATTCATTATACTGAAGCGGACGGAGTGTGTGTTTCGCGTGTGTGGCCAGCGAGCCGAGAGGGGCGAGCGGATTAAAAGGCCTGGCCCCGCTCGTAAACATAATCGGGTCTTTTAATTTCGTCTAGGAGTGGCAGCAGAGACGAATTGTGTTTCCAGGTGATGCTAATTGGAACGAGCGAATCGAGGTGAATTAATTAATTGGGTGGGCGGTGTTGACATCAAGCATAATAAATTGAGTTGTTATTACGCAGTCATTTTGCGAGTTTTGGATATAATTGTTCTGAACATTCACTTAATGGAATACTAATAAAAACTAATAAAAATAATAATACTAATAAAAAAATAATAATAATAATTTGTTCAAATGCATATAAATAACTATGTAAGAAAGAATTTCAAACTGCGTTTGGGGGGGGGGGGATTTAGTACTTTGGAATTTAGGTTTTCAGTAGTACCACTTGATGTGAATTTAAATCAATTAAAAAACATTATTTGCCCACTTTTTTTATTAAAAAAATGTTTGTTATGAAATTTTAAGCCAGGCATATAGCTGGCATATAGTTTAAATAGATTAATTCAACAAAAGGTAGAATTGTGATAGTAATAATAAAAATGGTAAATACTTAATATAGTAATAAGTCGAACTAAATTCAAAGTTTGTTTAAAAAATTGTCAAATATTTTTCTCCAGGAGTTTACTTCATATTTGATCGACTTTTTTGTCCTTATTAATCAATGACGCGTCAATTATAAATTTTGGTTCCAATGAGTCCAATGACAGTTAAGTAAATTAATTTACTTCTATTAAAATAAAAATGTAAGTAGCAGCAGAAATATACATTAAAATCTTACATTGTAATTTTAACTGAAATTATCTATTTTGTTTTTAAAGTTAAAAAAAAGGCAAATTTAAATCACTTATCATAATTAAAATTAAAAAATAATATAAATAAACATATAAATATAGAAAAAGTAACATAAGATAAAAATATTTTGGCCTTGTATTATCTATATTGATTAAAATTATTTAAAAAAATATTAAACATTGTTAAACTATATGGCATCAGTTTAAACTTTTGCTTTTATACGAAAGCAACAAGATTCAAATTTAATATCAAAATCCATAATTTTGATAAGGTTTAAAACACAAAATTTAATCGTATATTTCTTTTCTTCTTAGAACACGAAAAGCCTAAAAATATGTATAAAGGCGATTTTCAATAACAGGACATACACGAAACACAGCTTGGCATGCAGTTAAATCTCCATTCAGAAGGTCACTCTAATCGGTATAAATGTTTTATATTTTTCTCCAAAGGAACACGCAAATGCCACCGAACGAACGAAAAGCGGCTGATAACCGAAATATTGAAATGTCAAAAAATGCACCGTGAGAGTGAAATGACAAGCGCTGACCTTTCAGCCCTCTTTCGGGAGAGAGAAAAGTGACTCATTGAAAATTTGTCTGCTTTTCAATCTTAATTTGCGTCGCACGTCTCGTTAATTAATTACATATTCATTCACAGCTTGTTTACTCACCGTTGAATAAATGTCGAGCTCCTTGTAGGGGTTGACGGCGACCAGGATCGTCCCTGTGTAAGTCTGAGAGGGTGAAATTAAGGAAAACTCGCACGCATACAATTTTCAAAGAACCCCGTCCGGCGTGTGCATATATTCTCGAGAGCGGCGTAATTAAAAATTATTTTCCACCAGTTTGCCGCTGCTTTTTCTCCCCTCTGAAATGTTCACACCTCTTGAACTGTGCCCTATACATATTGTGCACAACACCACTTGCGCCCTGTGCAGGGCGGGGGAGCACAAAGGACCCGCGCCTCGTTGTCGATCTCGACACCGCGTCGAGAGGGAAATTGATGTGCTGTTCGCAGGCAATCGACACGATTCCAATCGACAGCACACCCATTCTGCCTCAACCTCGAACCACTTCAGAAGTTGATCAAATTTATCCTAATCAAATTCCAAAGAGAACCAAGTTTTTCTGGTAAATTTCTTAATAAAATTGAATTGGTTTGGTTTTTCTGCTCATTTCCACTTTTAAGGAAGATTCATTTACATTTTTTTTTCAGAAGACTGTTCAGGAGAATTCTGAAAATGCAATATTGAATCAGAATAAAATAGTAAGACGTTTCATCAATATGGTCAATCAGAAATGTAAAAGATATTATGAAATGTAAACACGAATTAACATATTGTTATGATGGGATAAATGATAAATTTAATAAAAATTATTGAGCATTACAACTTGTGTGTACGGTTATTGCAAATTTAACGTTAAGTACTCTGAATTTTTTAATCATTTCTTGAGGATTAAATTTAAATACAAATACAAACTCAAGTTATTAATTTAAATTAGCCATGAACACAACAGTACTAAAAATAATCAGAGTTATAATCATTGATTTCATATATTTTTTATATTATAAAAGCAAAATTTAAATTTAGTTTTAAATTTAGAGCAGGATGTAGAGCGTAGAGCAGGATATTGTGTTTTCCTCACACAAAAACGAATCAAAAACCCAATCAAGGAAAAGCCAATGTCAAATTTTTAGCATCATGAATCAACTTTTGATAGTGAAAATCTTCAACAAAATTTTTTTAAATTCGATAAAAAAGAGATTTGAAGCCAAATATTGGAGCCTTAATGATTATATGTTTAAATAAATAAATTAAAATGACCGAACGGTGAAATATTCGGTAATGTTATAGTACGCGCGACGTGTTTCCCAAAATCCCTGATTTCAGTTGGCATCACTTGCATTACGTCGCGCGTTTAATAGTGGTTTTACGTCGCGCATACAATAATGGTTTTACGTCGCGCGTACAATACTGGTGGCGGTGTAATTTTTAAGGAAACCGATTTTATTTCCCGATTACCACGGAAACCTCTATAGCACGCGCGACGCAATTCTTTTCCTACAATCTTAATTAAGGGGACTGCTAGGAAGAATAGGGGCCCTTGGGATGGGTTCAGAATGGGGCAAGACGACCTCTGGAGGGCCGTGCGCACCCTTATAGCAGGCGCGACGTATCACTATGGGACGCGCGACGGTCGAAAAGCGAACTCCTGAGGGCGCTTTTCACCATCGTCAGAGGCGCGACGCATGCTTATAGTACGCGCGACGCACGGTTATAGTACGCGCGACGCATGCTTATAGGAGGCGCGACGCACGAAAAATTAATTATTTCAAAAGGTGTTGCACGCGGCCGGAGTTGTAGGCACCCCACGAACCGGCAACTCGGAGGTGGGCAACCCCCCAAGATTAATTTTTGCAGAAGCCGCGAGCGAGGGGTGGAGGCGCAGCGAGGTCGAGGACGTGGGGAAGGCCGTGCGGAGGGCGAGGACAAAAGGGCGGCTGTGTTCGTGGGGGGGCTCCGCAGGAGCTCCCCCACGATCCCCGCCCTTTTGTCCCGCCCGGAGCCGGCCTTCACCACGTTCTCGGGCGAGCGCGCCTCCAGCCCGAAGCTCGCAAACCCACAACGGAGTTGCTTACAAAAGGAATTGTCTGCAAAAAGGGCTTAGAAAGCAAAAAGTGTGGTGCCCACAACTCCCTTTGCAGACAACACCTTTTATGGGCAACTCCGTTGTGGGTTTGCGAGCTTCGGGCTGGAGGCGCGCTCGCCCGAGAACGTGGTGAAGGCCGGCTCCGGGCGGGACAAAAGGGCGGGGTTCGTGAGGGGGCTCCTGCGGAGCCCCCTCATGAACACAGCCGCCCTTTTGTCCTCGCCCTCCGCACGGCCTTCCCCACGTCCTCGACCTCGCTGCGCCTCCACCCCTCGCTCGCGGCTTCTGCAAAAATTAATCTTGGGGGTTGCCCAACTCCGAGTTGCCGGTTCGTGGGGTGCCCACAACTCCGGCTGCGTGCAACACCTTTTGAAATAATTAATTTTTCGTGCGTCGCGCCTCCTATAAGCATGCGTCGCGCGTACTATAACCATGCGTCGCGCGTACTATAACCATGCGTCGCGCGTACTATAACCATGCGTCGCGCCTCTTACGATGGTGAAAAGCGCCCTGCTGAGTTCGCTTTGCCCTTCACTGGATTTACGGCCCGTCGCGCGTGCTATAAACATACGTCGCGCCTGCTATAAGGGTGCGCACGGCCCTCCGGAGGTCGTCTTGCCCCATTCTGAACCCATCCCAAGGGCCCCTATTCTTCCTAGCAGTCCCCTTAATTAAGATTGTAGGAAAAGAATTGCGTCGCGCATGCTATAGAGGTTTCCGTGGTGATCGGGAAATAAAATCGGTTTCCTTAAAAATTACACCGCCACCAGTATTGTACGCGCGACGTAAAACCATTATTGTATGCGCGACGTAAAACCACTATCGAACGCGCGACGTGATACTTTTACATGGGAGCATAAGTGCTGCCAACTTATGAAAAAACACGTCGCGCGTACTATAACATTACCAAATATTCTTGTCATGAATATCCAGAAAAAGAAATTTGAAATATATAATTAATAATTTTATTTTACAATTCCAAATTTCCTCTTCCTTTGAATGCAAAAAGTTTCAACCATTTCCTCTAATTTACCACAAATATTTTCACCTTCCCAAAAAAAAAAAAACATTTCATGGGGCTCGAACAAAACCAATTTGTGTTTTGGTTTGAGTGGATGCTTATTTAAGTCATTTGATTTGGTGTCTCCCTCCCTCAACGATTGACAAAAGGATAAAAGTGAGAGCGGCAGTGAAACTGTCTCCAGCACCCCTTATGCTGGAGCATGGAAAAGCCAAGAGGGTGCGACAACGCTATTTCAGAGCCTCTTCGTCATGGCATGAATTAAATTTCCCTCGCTCTTCCTCCCGCAGACATGGAAATTTATATATTTTTTCCATGCATAATTCAGAAAGCATGCGAAGGTTGTGCGCGAATAAGAAGTAAGGAAAAAATCGATTGTTGCGAGTCATGCAGGACAAAAGCTGCATCTCGGCGTCAAGTACGAGTATTAAATGGAGTTCAGGAAAATCCGCACACACACGCATTTGGCGCTTTTATTCTTTTGTTCGGCATTAAAAATAGATCGTCAGCGTGCCAAGGGGACGGATTTGCGGTGTAATGAGACGAGCACAAATAATGAAGGGGGGAGAAAGGGGGCTGCATGAAATCATCTCGAGTCGAGCACCCTCTCGGCAACCCTTCGATTTTCCTTCTTTCTTTCTTGCAAAGAGTGTAGCCAAATGTTGATTCATCGTCCGCATCGATTTTTCCTCCTTTCTTTCTTTCTTAACACACACTCCAGTGTGCATGCATGAGGTGAAGGAGGCAATTATTATTTCACTCTGGCTGTGTAGGGCGCTCGTTAAATTTTTACGAGAGACCCCCTGCGCTGCGCCACTTTTTATCAGAACAGTGCAAAAAGATTCGACGGCAAAAAGTCGCTGATGGGAGAGTGATTAATTAAATTACACTCTCACGCCTGAAAGCGAGTATCTTTTATTAAGTAAAATAAGGCTCGAGCTTTTTACTCAAATAGAAACAATGTAACATTTTATCTTGAATTTTCTATTGAGAACCTTTAATTTTATTTTTATTTGTAGTTATTAAATATTGTGTGCAGCTAATAATAGCCAATTTACTTTAATTTTTGTTAATATCAAAGATTTTTTTATCTATTTTCTTTTTATTAAAAAACAAACACAATTATTTTATAATTATGAATGTTTTTTATATAATCTAAAAAATATCTCTGTTTAAATTTTGTAGCCGATAGAATTGTCAGAATTCACCAATTCTATAAATGATTCGTACACGCTGTGCTTTTTAATCATTTTGTGATCAAACGTTAATTTTTCAGGCCTTTAAATGGGTGATAACTAACCATTTAATAATTGAACTGATAACAATATTACTAAAAGCTACGAATGATTAAAAAATATTATGTAATGAAAAGTTTGTCTTTCAAATAAATAAATAAAATAAGCATTTTCTTAAAAAGATTGCAAGATTTTTGCATACAAATAAAATCGTCGACCAACGCCCACAGCAACAACTTCCATCAGCAAAATAATTTTTTTTTTCGTCCCAAGCTGTTGTCAATCAAAATTTCTAATCTGCAGTCGGGACACGTGAGAGCAAAAAGCAGCGGCGCCTCGCTCGGAGTGAAAAACAATGACTGATTAACATGTAAATAAGCTGCGGCCAAATTGGCCGGCGCCCAAATAATTAGCTGCAGCGTTGAAATCGCGTGTGCCAAAATAATAACTCATCGCGCAGGCAGGCAGGCGGGCAGGGGTTGTATAACTAGAGTGCAGTAAAGCAAGCTGCTTTTTGATGGGCCAGGTGATACGACTCACTCTGAATGGACACGCGCTTCCTTTCCAGCCACAAAGAAAACGTGGGGTGTCGATATCGTACCGCAGAGTAAAAAAATATCAGGTGTGTGATGTAAAAAAAATACACTGGGAGCCTTTATCGTCTGGAAAAAATTTAATGCGACGAGGGTGTCACTAAAGTGATGATTCTGCTGCTTAACTGCCGCTTTTCGGGGAGATTGCACGTCGACGCTCATTTTACAACATTTTGACAGCAAAGCGACTCGCTGGGCGGTGTGAAATTTAATCGAGCGAGACGGTCGTGGCGTTCAAGATTATTTACACTAAACAAATTTTGAAATCTCTCCGTTTACTTGGAATTTAATACCAAAGAAACCTCTCGAAACGGGAACAATTAATTAGTCAAATTTAATAGAAAAAAGAATATATTGCTTCTATAAGACTTAAAAAGTGGTGCGTTTTGTTTAGTGTTAAAATAAGAGCCAGAATTAAAATTTTATCAATTATTTCACGTGTTTCATTGCCAAAATTTTACTGCTAAAAATATGGAAACTCAAAATATTTAATAGTTATCCCAATAGACCTTGTAGAACAATTAAAACTTTTTTAGAAAAATGATCTTGTGCAAAAAATGATGACGCAGTTCATAACTTTCAAAGTTTTCCAAGCAGAAAACATTACCCAAAGGACAAACTTAAATATGGCTTCCACCAGGCTTCCACTTAGGAAACTTTGGAAATTAATAATTTCGTCCATTTTCGTCCATAAACAATTTTTAAAACAAGTTTGCCAAGAAAAGTTTTATCAGAATCTCAAATTGCGAGAAATTTGGATTTGCTGTTAGTTTTCAGCCTCTTCAATCACAATATTATTAAATTATCAGTAGGCACAAAATTTAACTTTCAATAAAAATTGGAAAAATGAATATGGAAAGGTAGCATTTAAATATAATACCAGGACAGGTCTAATTAAACAATTAAATCAAGTAAGTGTGCAACGATTTTGCACAAATCAAAACAAAAATATTATTTCTTGCACTTGAAATCAAATACTGTATAAAATTAATTATCAAAATTATAAAAGTAAAAAAATCAGTATACACAAAATCGCAAATATTGATCTCATAAGTTTTTTTTCATTTAGCAATGAAATTATTTATTTTAAGCTCCCTCTTCAGGTGTGCGACAGGAAGTTTACCGAGCCAAATAAAGCTATTTTTATTCTCCAACAGACACGCCGTTTTTCCGCGAATTTCACGTATATCGCCGTGTCATTATATTTTCGCTCAAGCACACAATCCCTTCTCTTTATTTGCGTCTCTGAGCAAATCACGTTCCTTGATTCAAAAATACGCACATAATGGGAAGAGATTGAGTTTTATTTTTATGGTGGATTGTCATTGATATTCAAGACAAAAGACACATTTGAGCGCCCGTATCATTTTTACTCCGTTCTCTTTAGAATTTTTTTTGTGAATAATGAGTTGCTCTTCCCCTGATCAACATGTCCGATGCGCGAACGCACGCGCGTCTTCATTAAAATGCAAACCACCCCCTATTATAACGTGCGAAAAAGTGGTCCCTCTCTGCGCGCACTGGCAACAATTTATGCTCGTAAGCGACGTCATTTTTATAGGCTGTTGCTCGCGAACCGGTTTTTCAAATTGAATAAAATGCAGCACCCCTTGCTTACTCGTCTGGCTTGAATTTCATTCTGCTAAGTGTACGTTTCGAAAATTTATTACGCTAGCTGTTTATGGAACAAAAACCCCCGTCTGTCAGCGATATTCGGTGTCAGTTCAATGACACCCAGGAAACAAATGCTCAAATTCAAAAGGTTCTCAAGCAAACGGAATTTTTATATTGGAAAACTATATAAATTATATTAATTCTGACGGTACCTTTTTATTTAAAAATTGTTACTAAAACGTACTTTTTTTAAATTTTATTATTAAGTTAACATAATGTTATTTTAATGTAGTTTCTTTATTTGTTATAAATTTCATCTTTTAAAAATTGAAGATCGTGCTAAGCTTGGATATTTTACAAAAAGTAAAATTTCACAAAATTATCTCATTTAATAAATTATTTCTAATTGACAGAATGATCGGCATATTGATAACTAAACGATAAGATAAATCGTAATAGCAAGTCTTTCACTCACATATATTAAATAAATTTTCGCCTTATGAATAATTTTTATTGCCTGCAAAATTGTCATCAATTTTCTTGCTTCCCTTTTTATATACTAGACCTCCCAGTATTTTAGCATTTTGCGCTTTATTTACCAAATATTTTGAGCCCTTTCGAGTGGCGTTTTCGCTTGAATTTCCTGCTCGCTCTCTCGTTTTCTGTGCTAGACATAAATGGCGCGAGGGCTGTTGGCCATTTGGCTAGCTGTAAATAATAACCCGGCGCGCGGTATGCAATAAAGGGTTGCACCGCCGCAAAGGACCTGCTCCACTCGGCCGAAGAGCGCTCGGTACATATAATACACACAGCCGAGGTACGTCGAGTATCGATCGGGCAAAAGTGACGTCATTCGCGTCATCCTCTTTCAAACGCTGGAGCCACGCACCCGTAAAATTACACCGAGCGAAAGAATTAATACACAAAAGAAAGAACGCACAAAGTCAAATTTAATTGAAGTGCGGCTCGCAACAATAATAATTGGACACACAGGGGCCCCTAAAACAATTTTCGTACATAGGCGGGCCTCCGATTAACATGCAAGCCGTGTTTCGTCTCTCCTCCTTTTCGTCAAGAGTGATATTTTTATAGCAAGAGAGACACGGTAAAAAGCAAACGCGCAGAGTTGTTGTAAAGATAAAAGTGAACACATAAGAATAATCTAGCGAGGATGTTGCGAGGCTACCATAGCTAGGGGTCTCCGGAGATTTGTCCCAATCGCTTTATGCGCCATATTTCATCTCGACTCGCCGATTCCTCGTTTTCCGTATGCGGTCCTCTCTCGATTTTTATTGCCGGCGGGCGTGATGACGCCACACGGTCTCTATTATTTTCAAGAAGTGTCCACAGAGCGAAATTTTATTGTATTTTTCTTCATTTCATTTGTGTGACTGAAAATGTTTGAAGTATTCCTTTTCGCTACAGCAATAAAAACTTCATTAGTTTTCTTTCAAAGCTTTTCATGTAATATCGCTCAGTTAATGGAGCATTAATTTTTAAATAAATCACAGCCGTTGAAAATCGAGAGCCAGACGGGAAAAGAGAGGAAGCAAAAAACCAAGCTCATTAAATTTATATGAAAAAAAAATGCACTTCATTTTCCTGCTTCCTCCCCGATTAAAAAAGTGTGTCGCGAGAATCAAACAAATATAAAACCGCTGAAATAAACATAAGGAAAAGAAATGCAACGCTGCGAGTTCTATTTTTGATTAATGGCTTATTCTCTCCCCTTGGTTGCCATGACTACGAAGATCAAAGTCACCCCGTCGCGAGAATGTGTCAGTGAGGGTTCATTGGCCCCTTCGCCGTTCCCACGCACACTTCTTTCTCATTTTTACGCCTTTCAAATCCCCAACTCTCATTTGCGTCCGTTTCAATGGGGCCACACGCATTTATTGACACCAACCGAGTTAATATAGGGAGATGATGTGCGTGTGTGTATGCAACCCGCAGGGCGGCGCGTCAAAATTGATCGAATCAATTTCCTTGGCGCGGCTCGTGACTTCCTTTGCGTTCCGCCCACGAGTGAGTTGTAATATGAAAAGGATACGTAGATTTGGTCTCGGTCGTATCGGACGTGCAGATTTTTGTTGATCCCCTCCTCGTCGATGTCCGAGAGCATCGTCATGTCCGGCACGCCGAACTCTGGACGAGAACCTGCGAACAAAGGAAACAAAAATTTAAAAATTTTCCTTTTACTACATTTTCATATAATAATTCTTAAAAATAGTTTGCTTTTGCACCTTAACATTGAATACAAATTTAGTTAATATTTAGTTTGTATTTATAAATATTAAAATAATAGAAATAATATAATATATTACTAAAATTTCTTGATATTAAATTTTTTTAACTATTTTAAAAATATTTTAATTTTTTTTACTAAATTTGTTTCCTTTTTCATACTAGCAAAAGACCATAATATTAACAGTTCTTTTATAATAATTTATACATATTCAAATCATATTACAATTATTAAATATTATGCTGTCAGTATTCTGTATTAATGTTTTAACAGAAAATCTGCACTTACATTTTTTTTTATTTTGATGAGAGTAAAAGTAAGTGTGTTATGCGATATGATAGAATTAAAAATTATAATTGATAAGTTGGAAAAATTTGACAGTTAAAATTACTAAAATTTATTTAGTTCACTGAGATTTAGTTTCAAATGATGTTTCTTAGTAAAACGCGAGGCAATCTTTGCCCCTTTTGAGAACATCATACAGGAAATGATAAAATATTGTAAAGAAAAGATGAAAAGAGGAACAAATTCGTACATTTTTCTTTCAGCTTTTTGGGAAGAAAGCAAGAAATTCAATTTTACATAGATCAATTCATATTTATATCATTGAAATTCAAACAAAATTATTTTGAAAAAAAAAATAAACTTATTGTCAAAATAATTTACTGCATGACGCTGCATGAAAAGGAAAGTAAACCACTTATTTAAAATAGCCCTATTTAACTTTTTTTAATTTAAAAAGAATAAAGAGAATAAAGAAAAAACCATTCACATAAAAGTAGTGTAATTTAAGTCCATGAAAATTAATTTGAATTGTCTGGAATAGGCAAGTCTCGCAAGTTTGTGCAAAAAAATGCGAATTAATTTTCAATCTTTCCAAGTCCCCTCAAGCTCATCAAGTGAAGCAAACCAGCCGTCTGGGCAAATAGTAGGAGCGCTCATTAAGCGAAGAAGGACCCACACACGCCGGGCCCTTCCCGTCTCTCTCTCACACAACAAACATAAAAATAAGGTGCACTCGTCTTGATGAAATGAAGGGCTCTTGGAGCAAGTTAACAATGCGCGCACATCCACCGCGAGGGAGATGAAAAAAGAGAGCAGCCTGAAATAATGCATGCTCTCTCGGCACGCAGAGTAATTGGCGTCTATTAGACCACGAGTGGACCAAACTGGCCGGGAAAACGAGAGAGAGACTTTCCAGACCGACACCCGGAGAGTGGCGGCGAACGCCCTTAAGTACGATCAGCTGATGGAGCTAAAAGCCATGGCGAAACAAAGCAATTACTGCACACAGAAAGCGACCGTAAATTGTGCAGCTCAAGTGCTGGCAGATTTCTCGTCCCGACGTAATTGAGGCGGAGACGGAGTGAGTGAGACAAGGTTAGTTAACTGCCCGCAGAATGACTTAATTGCCAATTCAATGACTTTTTATCTTCAATTTGACGTAATTCCTTACAATTAATTTAAATAATTTGGAAAAAAATGGACAATTAAATCATTAAAACTCTCACAATGTTAAATATAGTAGTAAACGTTTTACAGGAATAAAATAAAATTTAATTTTTTTCTAATGCCTTTCTAACGAATTGAAATTTTTCAAACTGAAACAGGTTAAAACTGACTCCCTGTCAAGTTCAAAATCGGAATTGATTTTCCACTTAGAGGTTCTGATTTTGTTAAGATAAAATTCCAATTGAAATTCCTGTATAAAAATTAACAGCCAAATATTAATTCTACAATAAAAGGACCAAATTTCTAAATTTTTAAAATATCCATCGTTAATTTTGCTGAACAAAACATTACAGAATTCGCAAGTCTACGTTAAAAATAGGAATGAATCTTTTTTATGGAAAAATTTGTCCTTATATTATTATTAGGGAAAAAACTATTATATTTTAACGATTTGAATAGAGACAATATTAAAAGTGATCCCTAAGAGACCTTTGAAATTTTTGGTAATAATTTGTGCAAAAAGAGGTTCAAAAGCAGATAAAAAATAACACTCCATGCATGAAAAATTGAATGAGAAAATTTAATCAAATGGGAATAGTTTTCTGATTGAATGACACGAAATGTCAATTACGTTCAATATTTCTTTTTTTTTATCTGACACAAAGCTAAAGTGAGATCTTTCTAGCTAATTGCGTTAAAAGTTAGTCGTTCCATTCTCAATTCCTTGGAGAATCGAGTTAACTCTTGCGCACAACCCTATCAAAAGACTATTTGACGTAGAAAAACCCAACGGCAGAGAAAAGAAGTAGCGAGTCAAAAAGCAATTTCACCGCTCTTGGTGCGAGAGCAAACAAAAGTGACGAAAAGTAATCAGGGCTGCGAATCGCGAGGAGACACGACGTTAGTTCGCCTGTGAGAAATGGGAACAGGAGCGCAAATTGGCCGCTATCTAATGGGCAGGATGTCCTTGAAATATTGCTCCTGTCAAAGCAGCGACTCATCTCGTATTCGGATATGAATGTCCCTCTCTATGCATTTCTAGAACGGCGACTTTTGACATCAAGATTGATCGCCCCAAGAGCTAAAAGCATCGGAGCCACGCAGCTCTTCTCCTTATCGACGTCCAATGCGAAAAATTGCGTCTGCCCCGGAGGAGTCTCGGCGGCGGCTTCTTGATAACATCGCGCGCATCAAGTGGACGGCTAATGAGAGACACAGAGAATAAGAGGAAGTGGCGCGCGAAAATAATAATGCATGTGTCCGCCAGCAGCGAGGACTGTGTGAAAATTTACAAGCCGTCTTCATTATAAAAAAAATGTATGTAGCTAGGACCTCCAACTCCTATTGTATAATATAAATATAATGCCAATTGAATTTTTAATTTCAAATTTTATAGTCACACTGTAATAAGATAAAGTTAAGTGTGGGAAAATATTTCAATTCGAAGATATTGTACAGATCCGTTTTATCTTATATAATAAGTATTAAGGATGTAGCTTTAGCTCTAATCTAGATTTCAATAATATTCAACATAATATATCTGATTAAATTAGTAAAAATGTATAGCAAAGGTTATAGTAAAAGCACTTCACTATATCTTGAGTAAAACATTAAAATTAACATTAAATTTAAAAAAATAAGATTGGAGCTTGCCTTCCGCAAGCTCAATAAGGGCACAGGCCGACAAGACACTTTGTCTTGGCCTGACCCCCCCCCCCAAAAAAAAAAATGATTTCAATTTTCAATGATTAACGCTATAATTATAAAAAAATATAAATTTAAACAAAAAAATTTATTTTAATTATATTTTATATTGTTAGTATTATCAAAGTTCTTGTTATTCTATTTTATTCACTCCTTTTTGAAAGTCGATGGAATTATAATTAAATTATTACATTTTTAACTCTAAAAAATTTTAGTGTGGTTTTGTGCTAAAAAATTTATTATATTGTTCCATTCCCGTCTTAGGAGACATTCTTACATTGATATAAATGTATAAATTTGATTCCCGTTACATGTAATGTAGAGATGAGAGACAAGTAAACACGTCATTTTACACTTGTAATGTGAATACGTGATTTTTCTCTTATTTTTTAGCTAAAAAGTGAGAAGAAGAGAATGGCGCTCTCCACTTGAACACATAACATTCAACTCTTTCTTTCGCAGCCAGGGGAGACGCAAATGGGAGGGGAGCAACCAAAACAATGAGACACCACGCGCTGCACAAACAATAAAAAGATGTATAAAAATTTTGAGCTCAGACTATGCTCGGTTGCAGGGAGTCTCACGTGTTGATACGCGAAGCAGCACATTGTCCCTCACCATATCTCGACATAATAACTCTGCCGCGCTCATTGTCAGCACATCCTGCGGCTTTTTACCATTTTTTTCGTAGTGCCCCATTTTTCCACATTTTCCCTTTCTTTTGGTCTCTCCCTGCATCCGTCGGTTGTGATGGTGCTCCAGAAAAAGAGTAGAATGTCAAAGATTGTAGCACTCGACATTTCCCTAAAAGACCTTTTTCGTGGTGCAGTGTCAATTGAAAGGGACAAAGTTAAAGTGGATGTGAAAAAGATATTTCTGGAAGTAGGCCGCGGCCCGTTCATGAAAATGGGAGCTGGAAAAGTTCAAACACGGTGTTTTCCATTTTTACATAAAATTAATTCAGGAATTTTAGAATAAAAAGGGTATTATCAGCTCATGTTTTTATAAAATTAATTTTTACACTAAGATTTTAGCTAGGAGAAATTTTATTTATAGAAGTTCTGGGGCAGTTCTGGGGGGAAAATTGCATTAAATAAAAACCAAAACATTAAACCTCAATTTTGAAGTGAAATCCTGACAATTCTCAACAACAATGCTAAAATTGTTATTAAAATAATTTAAGTAGTAAAATAATTTATGCAACAATTTTAAGATTTAAATTTTAATAAACTATATTGATAATAGATTTTAAATTGACTTTTCAAATGAATTTTTTTAACTTTCCAGTGGAGTTTGAATTGTTTTTCAACTTTTTCATGAAAATTAAATTATTATTTTCAATAAGCTTTAATTGGAGGCAGCTGTCATGGGAGATTCAACTCCATTATTGAGGTTTCCAACTCACGGTCGGTCGATGTAATTTAAAACAAGCATTGTCCTGATTAATAAAACGAATGGCTATTAACAAAGATAAATGGCAATGAGTTTCTAAGAACATGTGCACAATTCGATTTCTCGTTACTCTCTCGGCGGCTGCGGCGCGACCTCCAACGCAAAGGAGGCGCTGAAGCTGCAGCATCTCAAGCGCACATTCCAAAACAATGATCATACTGTATGATTTTCCTATTAGGATGCTGGCTGGCGTCATTACTCATTCATCAGCACAGCAAGAAGTGCCGCTGCCGCTTTTTGTGCTTCAAAGAGAGCGTTAGATGTGCGGCTGTTCAAAGCCTGCTTTCCTTGAGAGTAGAGCACT